TAGGGAGTGAACCAGTTGAATTTGAATCGCTTTCAAATAAAGCTGTTTCAACAATACTAAGTACATGACACCCAGGAAGGGGCACAAGTGGATAGCAGTACTTGGCTACCATTTGAATATTTTGTTCTGTTTTGTTTCTCTCTCTTTTCATTTATTTGAAAGGCAGTGAGAAAAGACAAAAATTTTCAGGGCCTAGCGCTATGGCTCACCTGGGTAATCCTGCACTTCCAAGCACCAGCGTCCCATATAGGTACCGGTTTGTGTTCCAGCTGCTCCACTTCCCACCCAGCTCCCTGCCTGTGGCCTGGGAAAGCAGTCAAGGATGACCCAAAGCCCTGGGACCCTGCACCCACCCACATGGCAAACCTGAAGGAACTTTCTGGCTCCTGGCTTTAGATTGGCTCAGCTCCAGCCGCTGCGGGCACTTGGGGAGTGAACTAGCATCTGCTGGTTGGAAGGTCTTTCTGGGTCTCATTCCCTCTGTAAATCTACCTTCCGGTTAAAAATAATTTTTTAATTGAAAACAAAAACAGGGCTCGACCCCTGTCTAGGGGCGTCCGAAGGTTGGGGCCAGATAAAGAAATGAATGACATGCACTGGGGGGCAGATAGAGCCCAGAGCTCCAGGTGCCAGAGCGCCCACAAGGTAGGCTAGTTGGGGTGCTGCAGGTGCCATGGGTAAGTGCGGGAGACTAAATGTGGAGGGAACAGCCTCAGTGTTTGCTCCCAAGGCTGCAAGGTGGAGAGGGACTGGTTGGGGGGCGCCAATCAATGGGCGTGTGTGCCAGTTCTGGAGTGGTGTGGGACAGGTGCAGTCAGAGAGCTTCTAGCCACTGGTTCACTCCCTAAATGTCCGTGACAGCCAGGGCTGAGCCAGGCTGGGCCAGGAAGCACCGACTCAGCATCTCTTCCGGGGGTGGGGGTGGGGGACCCAGTTACTTGAGCTGTCACCTCCCTGTCACATGCTCTTGGTGAACAGGAAGTGGACTCAGGAACAGAACAGGGCCTTGGACACTCATGTGGGGTGGGAATTGCCGTGACAGACGACACACAAGCGGCAGGAGACGCTGCCCTCAGGGAGGCGCCTGTGCAGGGAGAAGGGGTGGGCCAGGACGGGTGGGGGGTGGTACATGACAAGCGCACAGGTGGCATGGGAGAGGGGAGCACCCAGGCAATGCTGGTGGGGCTTGCTGTGTGGATCAGGCAGCAGCCTGAGCCATCCTGGACTCCCCTCCCACGTCTCAGTCCTCCCCCAGAAGTGGCCCTGGGAGGGGAGCTGACAGGTGGGACAGCTCCAGGCCATCTGCCCCTCACGGCAGTCCTGTGGCCATGATGGTGATGACGCCCTATTTTCCGAGGCGGCCCGAATCAGGCAGGGGTGGGGGGCGCCGGAGACTGGAGGAGAGGCAGATAGTGGGTTTATTTTTAAACCCAAGTGGGCACTAGAGCTGCCAGCGAGCAGACGGCTCTTGGGAGAACGAAGATTGGCAGGCGCTCAGACACTTGTCAGGAAGCCCACAGCCTGCCAAGTGGGCAGGGGTTCAGGTGGCTGAAGGCCAGGGCCAGGCCAGGGGGTCAGGCACAGCTGTTCACACTCGGGAGCCTGACTACAGCCGGCCCACGGTGGCAGCAGTGCAGCGTGTAGGTCATGAGTGTCCTAGTCCTCCCATAGGCCTGGGTCAAGCATGCCTGCGGACGGGCGGGTGCACCATGTGGACAGCTTGTGGCAAGCTCCAGGGACAGCCAGGAGTCAAGTGCAAGGGCCGGCCAGGGGTCAGAAGCCCTTGTGTCAGGGGCATTGGTCAGCAGTCCTGAGAGCTGACCTGGGGTGCAGTGTGGCCAGGCGGAAGGCCACTAGTGTGTCTGCAGCTTCATAGCGAGCAGTGAGGGTGATGACGGGCCCAGCTGGGACTGCTGCCCACTGCAGGGCTGCCAGGGCACAGGCCCGGCACTCTGGTCAGAGGCCGCTGTCTGTGCTATGGGAGCTGAGACACCTGTGAGCCCAGCGCTGACCAGCAGGGTCAGCATCATGCACTGGCCACCTTCTTGCACCAAGGAGCCCCAGCAGCTCGGCCTGGCTGCCCTTCTCTGGCTCTGGGCTTCCAGAGGGGTGACCGAGCTCTGACTTGGCCAGCACCCAGTGCCCAGGGCTGGAGCCAACTTTAGGTCGGAGCTGAGAATCTTACTCCCTGAGCCTGCCAGTGCCACCTCAACTTCTCAGAAACTTTCTAGAAAGGGCTGTTCATGTGGGCGCCCGCGCCCTTTGCACCAAGTCTTCCCTGCTGCCTGGTTTCTACTCTTACAACTCAATATGATGGCCTGCTGCAGCCATCGGGCACCAGAACCCTGGCTGATCAGAGAGGTGCCAGCCCCTGTGGCTGCAGGGTCCCCTATGCCACACTGCAGACAGGGGGACTCGGAGCTCAGAAGGGGCTGAGTTTCCACTGGGGAAGTCAACCCTCCTTTTGCTAATGCTGAAGGGGGCCGGGCCATGTGGACCCCGGTGGCCTACAGAGAACTGAGGTTCTGCCCCCAGCTGCCTGCTGTCCTTCCTCTTTTCCCAGTGCCAGTAGGACCCACACTGGGCCTCCCTCCGGCTCTCCTGCTCCAGGGTCTCTGAGCCTGCTCTGCCTATGGCTCCAGTGCTTTTTAGCTCACCTCCACCCAGGCCTGGGGAGCTGGGGAGGGCCAGTAACTGGCCCCGGGGTGAGGGAGGGAGGAGCTGAGGAAGCGGAAGGGTCCTGCCTCTCCCCAGGCCCCACCTGCTTCCTTGCTTGCAAGGGAAGCTGCACCCCTTCCTTCAGGCTCTCTAGCCCAAGTCTGGAAGCTCCCTCCCTACATGCTACACCCAACTCTGCCTTCCTAGGACCAGGGGGAGGTGGTGGGGCTGCCGTTAGTGGGAAGGAGACACAGGCTGGGGCGTGAGCTCTGTGGAAGCCCCGCAAGTGTTCTTTAATGATGTTCTGGTCCCTGCCTCTCCCCGCTCCCCCACCCCTGCCCCAGCCCCGATGACAGACAGACAGGATGCTTTGGGGTAACCGGGTCCAGGCCTCTGCTCCTCCCTGGGCACCATAGCAGGAGGGCACGGGCCACCAGGAATGGGGGTGCGGCGTGGAGGGTACTGGTTACAGACGTCTCCGGAACCTCTGCCTCCCACCCCCACGTGCACAGACATGCCCACGTGCACAGGGGTATCCACACCCGCACCGAGATGTGGCGCCACATGCACTGCGCCCAGTGTGCCTGAGTGTCCCACCGGACAGGGGAGGTGGCCGCAGCAGTGCAAGCTCCAGCCCCAGGCTTGGCAGCCCTGCCCTGCTGGGCTGTGGGCAGTGCCAGCTGGTGCTCAGTATCAGGGGCCCCCCAACCGGCTGCGGCCGGAAGCTCCCGAGATCAACAAGAAGAAGCTGGGTTCTTGGAGATTCTTCCCGTAGACTGCAGCAGAGGACTCCCACAGGCGGCTCCCGGGGCCCGTGGGAGGCCCTCCTGTCTGTGGCTTCCATCCCAAGGGAGCTATCCCTGCCAGCTGCCTTCAGGGTCAAGGGCGGGCCCTGAGGGAAGGCTCTGCCCAGGGCTGAGTCTGTGGGGAGCTTAAAGGGGCTCGGCCATGGTGGGGCATCTGTAAACTGCTTGGTGCTGGAAGGCAGACAGGGCGAGGGACGGGGCTGGTGGGAGCTTGGGAACTTGACCAGAAGCCTAGCATCGCCCTGAGACCTGCATTTTCCCACCCGCTCTGGCACCTCATCCACACCCCGACCTCCCAGAGGGGAGTGCTCCCTGGGAAGGCGGCCCAGCCTGGGGTCTCTGGATCACTCCAGGAAGGGCACAGAGACCCTAAGCCAGCCCTGAGACCACTCTCCTGGTATCTCCCAGACGCCGGCAGGGACTGACTGTGCCCATAACTGGGACAGGCAGCTTTGGTTCCAGGCACCACTCACACTTCTTTCACTTGGGTAGGGGCAGACAGAGCGGGCAGGGCAGGCGGGACCCTGGTCAGGGTCAGCCATGGAGTCCGGAGTGAGCAATGCAGAGGCATAGCGCCCCCCGCTGGTCAGCTTAGCGCCCCCAGGTTACATTCATCAGTTTAGATCCAGGGTTGTTTTGTTTTGAAATGTAGAGGTCGGCCCCTCCTCCTGAGTCTCCTCACAGAGCTCCGACTCAGGTCCCCCAGCTGCCAGGTTCTGAGGTATGGCTGCTCCAGGCCATGTCCTCCAGGGGATGCTGGTCCCCCTAAGGGGCCCCTCTCGACCCCCTAGCCCCCATTTGAACTGTGGCAGTTTGTGTTGATGGAAGCTACATTCACACACAGGAGTTGGTGTGCAAGGCCAATGCTGCGTGAGGGGATGAAGGACCATGACGGAAATGCCCACCCAGGACCTCGTACCCCACCCATGTGGAGAGCAGGGCCACAGGCCCCCAGAACCCCTGCCCCTCCTCCAACACAGGAGTGGGGGGGGGAAGCTGGAAGACATTTGCATGGCACCTCCCTCCGTGGCGTGGTGGGGGCAGCCTCGCAGTTCAGGCGGAGACGGTGGGTGCCAGGCTCGGAGGGAGCCGTGGCACTTAGGCCCCTCCGGACCTGGAAGGGAGAGGGCACATCAGGGGTGTCTGGGGGACAGGGCCTGGGTGGGGGAAGCCCCCCACCAGCTGGGCCCGCGAGTCAGGGCTGGACCCTGCAGGAGCCGAGTCACAGGCTGGGCTGGCCAGGGCGGGCAGACAGCGGTGACATGGAAGACACAACAGATGGGACGTGGAGGGAGACTCCCCAGGCTGTGTGGCACGGCTCTGGGGTCCACCTGGCCCATGGAAGGGCCAGAGAAGACCGGGCAGCGGGAAGGGGCAGGGGTGGGCGGAGGACCAGGTCTTCCCCGGGCTGCTCTCCCCCTGGCCGGGTCGGTCTGACAGCACGGCTGGGGATACGGCCCAGCTCCCATCGACAGAATGCGAGGTGGTGACAATGAGATGGAGACAAGGACAGCGGGAGGGATGACGTGGCCGGTGTCACACTGCCCCCTGCTGGGTCGGGTCATACCTTCCTCGGCGGATGTTTCTGCAGCAGCCAAGCAGAGACAGAGAGAGGGAGAGAAAGTGGGGTGGGGAGAGGGAAAGAGCCGGGTAACCGACACCCCCCTCTCGGAGGAGGGCCGGGGCTCCCTGGAGGTTCTGCTCTAGTGAGGGAGCCCTGGCTCCGACCCTGGGCCGCAAGGAGGGGCTGGGGCAGCTCCAGGAGTCCACACTTAGCTGCCCAGGGAGCCCTGAGGGCTGGCTGGAGACAGGCGATGTGGGGCACACATCTAGCATGGGCAGCCCCAGCCCAGGCTGCCACCCTGGCCACACCAGACTATGATGAAGTCCCTGGGACCCAGCCTTCCTATTTTTTTTTTTCTGGAGACACCCGAAATCAGGATGGTCAACATACCATTATCTGTGAGCAACTGACTGCTGGAAAGTGAAGAGAGCTTGGGCCGTGACCTGTGAGAGCTGCGGTCAGGAAGCTCTCATGGGGCCCGCTCAGCTCTGAGGGTCTGGGGACCTGACCTCCCCACCCACCCCGTCCCCCTTCCCAGATGGCAGGGGACGGAAGAGGAGCGCGTTTTCCCTTACTTAAATCCCCAGCCCGTGCCACCCAGGACAATGGCTGCAACCAGGACAGCCCCGGCGATGGAGCCGATGATGATGTTGGTGCCGCTGGGACCTGCGGGGGCGGGGGAGGCAGGGCTCAGCTGGCAGGGAGGGGCAGAGGGCAGGAGGCAGGCAGCCCACCCTGGCCAGCGCCAGCCTCACCCTTGTACCGCTCCGTCTCCCCAGTGGGAGGGGGAGTGGGCAGGGGGTTGTGAATGCTGCAGTCTTTGCCCGTCCAGTCGGACTGACAGATGCATTTTCCCTCGTTGCTGCAGACCTAGAGGTGGCACAGGGCCGGCTGGGTTGAGAACTGCTATCCCCTCCTGGCAGCCTCTCTCTCACCCTCCTGGGCCTCTCCCAAGCACCCACCCCATGGTGGGAGCAGATCCGGCGGTCCCCGCTGCCAGGGCAGGTGCTGAAGTTGAAAGCAGAGGCTGGCAGGCAGCGATGGTCCAGGCACAGCATGTTGGGCCCACAGGCCGTGCCATCCTCCACGTAGCTGAGGTCCGAGCCATCGGCCAGCTGCACGTGGCCTCCCCTTTGGGGACAGTGCAGTTGACCTCAGCCCCTTGTCCCACACCCCTGTTGCACCGCCACCACCCAGGGTCCCTCCCCCATCACACCTGCAGTCCAGCTCCCTGCCCTGGTGGTAGAAGGTCACGCTGCTGATGTCACCTCCCAGGTCCCCCAGCCGAGGGGCCCCAGAGATGTTCACACAAAGGAGGAAGCCACACAGCACATCCCTGTCGGGGACACAAGGAGACAGTGAGGCCCCAAGGGGGAGTGCAGACCCAGCTCCCAAGCTCCCATCCACCCTGACCTGCCAGACTGCCCCAGGAGGACCTGCACCCCTTGCCCAGAGCAAGGGGACCCAGTGACTCACTGTTTGTTGCACTGGACCCAGCCTGACCCCTTGCGCCCGCAATTCCCACGCTCCGTCCCCTCCACGTTCAGCTTCTCGTAGCAGAAGCGATCCGCAGCCGCTGTAGGGAGGTGAGGCTGGGGGATCACCCTGCCAGCCCAGGGTCTCAGGCCTGCAGCTCCGACACTGCCCCCTGCCCCCTGATATTGGGAAGCCACATGTTCAGCCTGAGTCTGCCCTGCCTCGAGACCCCTCTGCCACCCCCAGCCAGACTCACCGCGGCCCCAGAGAGCCTGGCACTGCCGATCCCGGGTTTTGCAGCGACCTCCATAGCAGCGGCCCTGAGGGACGGGACACCACGGGTCAGATGGGAGGCCACAGACTGGACTGGACCCCCGGGGGAAGGAGCCCCCCATACCTGTTCCTGGTCACAGTAGTGGCCGTCCAGCTTGTGCAGGTTAGGGGGACACTGTGGGGAGAGAGGGGACAGTGAGCACACCAGCCGAGGGATGGGGGGGCCCACTCCAGGTAGGGATGCAGGGGTACCAAAGCCCCAGATGGCACTCAGGTTACAGGGCTCTGAGCCCAGTCTGCCCGGAGTCACAAGGTCCCAGAACGCGCATAATGACGGCCAATGGCAGCCTGGCAGAATGAAACCACCGCGGTGGGCACGGGTGGCCGGGCTGGACATACCTGGCTGGAATCCCCGGTGCAGGTCTCGGCGATGTCACACTCGTTCACGGCCTCTCGGCAGGAAACACCTCGCGGTTCATACTAGGGGAGAGGCGTTCCTGGGCTCCAGCAGGTGAGCGGTCCCGGCCCTGGGACCCCAACCTCCCGCCACTCCAGTCACACCGGGGAACCTGCTCTAGGCCCCGCCCCCGTGCTCCCGCGGCGGCCTGGCCCCGCCCCCACGAATGCCCCCTCAAACCCTGGCTCCGCCCACCGGCGACGCGCTCCGCCCCTGCGCTAGCCCCGCCCCCGCACACCCCCTCTCAAGCCCTGGCCCCGCCCACCTGCGGCGCGCTCCGCCTCCCGCGCTAGCCCCGCCCACGAACGCCCCTCTCAAGCCCTGGCCCCGCCCACCTGCGGCGCGCTCCGCCCCCTCACTAGCCCCGCCCACGAACGCCCCTCTCAAGCCCTGGCCCCGCCCACCTGCGGCGCGCTCCGCCCCCTCACTAGCCCTGCCCACGAGCACCCCTCTCAGGCCCTGGCCCCGCCCCAGCGCTAGCTCCGCCCATGCAACCCGCTCCGGCCTTGGCCCCGCCCCGGTGGCCCCGCCCATGCAACCCGCTCCGGCCTTGGCCCCGCCCCGGCGGCCCCGCCTCACCTTGCAGCGGCGGCAGCAGAGCCCGTCGCTGCACATGGCGTCGTGAGTCAAGGTGCATTTCTTGCAGCAGTTGCCGCCCGCACGGCTGCACTCCTGAGGGAGGCGGGACGCAGGACAGGGAGGCGGACGAGCCGTGATCCTCCCACTCCCCGCGCCCACTCCAGGTGTCCACCCGGGAGCCCCCCACGCTGGCCGCTCACCTGCACGGAGCCACAGTCGCACTCCTCTCCCGCCTCCACGAAGCCGTTCCCGCACTCCGGAGGGTCCAGGAGCTGGACCGGGAGCGAGTGTCGGGGGTCTGACGGACACCTGCCTGGGGGCCCCCGCCCCCACTCCCCGTCGCCCCGGGGCCGCTACCTTGAGGGGCTTGTTGAAGAGGCAGCTCCCGCCGCCCTCCTGCAGAAACTGGTTATACTCGTCGATGCTGCAGCGCGAGAACTTGCGGGGCAGGTAGAACCTGGCGGAGGTGCGGCGCCGTCCCGCGGGGGTTCTCCAGCCCACCCTCTGCCCTTGGGGGGACGGCCCCCCACAACCCGCAGTGACCTGGCGCTGCGCAGGTGCCTCCCGCGGGGCTTGGGCGGCGTCCGGAGGCCACCACACGCACACTGCAGCCCCTGCTGGGGGTCTCCCTGAGAGGCGTTAACAGACCACTGCCCCGTGCCATCCTGTGTGCCCCCTGAACTCACCCAGTGTCCTCCATGATGCAGCCCAGCCAGATGTCCGGACATTTGCAGTCCCCTGAGGATAACCCAGGTGGGCATGAGAGAGGGTCCAGGCCCACCGCCTGCCCACGCACACCCTCCTTGCCCCGTGGGGGGTGCGGGGTGTCCCCTGGGCTGACACCTGCGGAGCTCCTGTGCTTGTTCCACATCATGCCCAGGTTCTGCCCCAGTGTCTGGGCCAGCGTCACGGCCATGGCTCCCATGTTGCCATACTGGGGAGTGGGACAGAGACACATCTAGCCTCCTTCCGGCATTTGAAGCCCCTCCTCGCGGCCCCAGCCCCGCCCTGCCCCGCTCACCTCGTTCACACCCCCGCCCCTGGACAGTGAGCAGATGCCCCCCACGTAGGCTGCCCCGCTGCTGCTGCTCTGGAAGGTGCGGCCCCTGCAGGGGAGGGAGCTGTGAGGAGGGCCTCTGGTCATCCCCCCACCGCCCAGGCGAGGCTCCAACACCCCTGTAGCCTTGCCCTCTGGGGCTGCCCCTGTGGCCTGGGTCCAGCAACCCCCCTCCTTTTGTGTTTCTTCACCCAGAGGCAGATGCCACTCCCCTAAGGCATCTCTAGCTGCAGGGCCTGTTATCAGGTGTCTACCTCTACCAGGACCTGGGGTCCCTGAGGGGAGGGATGTGGGAGAAGAGGGGTCCTGAGGGGATGGAGGGACCAAAGCGGGAAATAGAGGGCACCCACTAAGTTGCAGGGGACGGCAGGGATGTGGCTGGGGGCAGGTGGGACTCACGAAAAGAGGTGGGTGGCATCGCTGGGCTCGGGCAGACCCTCCCGCCGGTAGACCATGAGCCGGGCCAGGGTCTCCAGCAGGTCATCCTGCACCTGGATCTTGTCCCCATCGGCCCACGTCTCCATGGCAACCAGCACAATGCGGGTGTTGAGCTGCTCCTTGTACATCTGGACCCAGAGGGGAGAAGAAGGTGGGATGGGGGTGGGCAGGCAGGGCTGGAGGGGACCTCATCTGTCTCTCCTGGGGTCAGAGGCTGACAGTGCATGGGGGCTGGGGACATGCAGGACAGGGGCGCTCGGGGAAAGGGAGGTCGCAGGGCCTCTCACCACATCTGCCAGATTCACCACAGACTTGGCGAAGTTGCTGGTGAGGACCACTGACTGGCGCATCTGCTCAAACTGGGAGAGTGACAGGTGCAGGATGAGGCTGCTCCCAGGAGCCCAGCCTCCCTACCTCCTCTCACCCCAGTCTAGGAACTGACCAGCTGGTGGTCGTTGATGACAATCAGCTCCACGTACTTGGTTTCGCTGTGCACCGTGGGATGGCCCCGGCGGACCTGTGGGGCAGGTGGAATCAGTGCCCTCCATGCCTGGCCTCAGTGATGCAGACAAAGCAGGGTGGGACTAAGGTCCGTGCCAGCCCTGTCCACCCAACCCGATGGAGGATCCACCTGCCCCCAGCCTGGGAACCAGGACAGGCAGCTTCGGGGTGCCTGCGGTGGGACCTGTGTAGAAGCCAGAGCTAGGGGCAGGTGTGGGGCGGCTCTGGCCCGGGGCTCCCGCCCAGCAACAGTGTAGGATGGCAGGAATGGGTTGTTGTCTGAAGCCCAGCCTGAGGTCTCTACAGCCCGAGCTCTGTGCGGGCCCCGTACCTGCCTTTTCCTTCTCAGCCTCGGCCGGTTCGGGGGAGCAGAATGGACAGGAGCAGCAAACAGACACCCTGTGGGGAGGGGCAGGTGAGGGGGGCACAGTAGGCTCCCACCCCAGCCCCACTTCCCCTCCCTTACCTGGTCCCCTGCATCCAAGGGGGGCTGGGAGGAGAGGGGTCCGGTAAATGAGATGGGGAAGGGGTCCCTGCAACAAGGGGGAATGAATTCTTGGGGGGCCCACGAGGCTCACTCAGTGTCCATGGTGGGGGGCATCGCCAGCTCCCCCACCAGGTGACCCAGAAGTGGCCAGAGCTTCCATGTCGGAGCTCATCTTCCAGACGCTCAGGTTCCGGGGTCAAGCCCTGGGGGCGCCCTGGGAGACAGGGGCAAAGGACACTGGAGCCCCATGGGAGGTCACTTGGGGGACAGAGGGGACATTGGAGCTGGGATCACTGAGGAGGGCAGGGTGGCTGAGGTTACTGAGGGAGGAGGTGGCAGTGGCAGTGTAGGTTATGGGGAAAGGACAGCGAGGAGCTGTGAAGGCTCACCTCAGGGGCTCCCTGAGGCCCAGCCATGTGCTGGGGCTCCACGATGTAGGTCAGGTTCCCATCAGAGAAGACCCCACTGTGGAGAAAGGAGCTGTAGGCAGGGCCAGGGCTAGAGGCTCCTCCCTGGTGCCCTGCCCCAACCCAGCCCTCACCGCACTCACTGTAGCCCCTGGCAGGTGGACAGAGCAGCGAAGGAGTGAGGGTTCCCCCGCAGCTTCCCTTGGTAGTAGCAGTGGTCTTTGGCACCCTGGCAGAGCAGAACGGTGAGCAGGATGTGGCCCCAGCCCTGGCCTGGAGGATGATGGCAGACGGCCACAGGGAGAAGTCCTGGATACCCCTACCTGCCACCCCAGGGACATCCTGGACTCTGGATCCTGCTTCTACAAGTTGCTAACTGCCTCTGGGCTTCCCTCACCTCATCTGTAACATGCAGCTGAGGACAGTCTGGCACAGCCATTAAGAGATCTGCACCGCCTTGTTGGAGTGGCTGTGTTCAAGTCCCAGTGTAGCTCCCAATTCCAGCTTCCTGCTAATGCGCACCCTAGGAGGCAGCAGGTGATGGCTGGAGCACTTGGGTTCCTGCCACCCGTGTGAGACACCTGGACTGAGTCCCTGGCTCCTTGCTTCACCCTGGCCCAACCTTGGCCATGGTTTTATGGGCTGCTGAGATTTCTGTCTCTATTTCTCTTCCCAATAATTAGATATAAATTCCTTTAAAAATGAATCTGGGCCCTGGTGCAGTGGCCTAGCGGCTAAAGTCCTCACCTTGAACTTGCTGGGATCGCATAAGGACGCCAGTTCTAATCCTAGCGTCCCCACTTCCTATCCAGTTCCCTGCTTGTGGTTTGGGAAAGCAATCGAGGACGGCCCAAAGCCTTTGAACCCTGTGCCCACATGGGAGAGCCAGAGGAGCTCCTGGCTCCTGGGCTTTTTTTTTTAAGATTTATTTATTTTATTGCAAAGTCAAATATGCAGAGAGGAAGATCTTCCCTCTGATGATTCCCTCCCCAAGTGACTGCAATGGCCGGTGCTGTGCTGATCCAAAGCCATGACTCCTGGCTTTGGATAGGTTCAGCTCCAGCCGTTGAGGTCACTTGGATAGTGAATCATTGGACAGATCTTCCTCTCTGTCTCTCCTACTCTCTGTATATATATCTGATTTTGCAATCGATCAATCAATCAATCAATATGAATCTAGGGGCTAGCATAATTGCTCAATTGGATAATCCTCCACTTTAAGCATTAGTATTCCAAATGGGCACCAGTTCATGTCCACTTCCCATCCAGCTCCCTGCTTCTAGTCTGGGAAAGCAATGGAGGACGGCCCAAAGCCTTGGGACCCTGCACCCATGTGAGAGACCCAGAAGAAGTTCCTTGCTCCTGGCTTCAGGTTAGCTTCCATTCATTGTGGACATTTGGCAAATCAACAGATAGAAGATGTTTCTGTCTCTCCTCTCAGTAAATCTGCCTTTCCAATAAAAATAAATCTTTAAAAAAAAAAAAAAAGCTGGACCACAACAGGGGTTCTTGGCTACCTGCTGAGACTGGGTGAAAGGATGGCAGAGGCCTCATGGCTTCTGGCATGTTCAGGTGCCAGGCTCTGCTCCCACACCGACTGATTCTTACCTCATTTAATCAATGTCTGATGTGGGCTTGTGCCCCGCAGCACACACCACCTCACACCCTGCCTCTGTGGCCCAGGAATTCCCAACAGCTAGAGTCTGCCTGGTCAGGCTGGTAGGTTGGGGGCACTACCAGCGCCCTCCCCAGCCCTGCTTCCTGCAGAATTACTTGTGCTCCAGTTCCTGAACAGACTGGGGCGGGGGGGGGGGGGGGCGGAGAGGGGACAGGCTATTTATAGACATTCGCTCATCTTTGTTCAGGCTGCTGAGCCTCCAGGGCTGGAGACCCCGGGGTCCCAGGGAATTCCCGAGACCTTGGTCAGGAGCAGGGAAAGTCTGCAGGGGGAGGGAGTGTGTGCAGGGAGACCACCTGCTGTGGCAGACAGGTTCTGTGTGCTGCCCTGCAAGGCAGGTGGGTTGGGAGTCAGGGCCTGGCCGCGCCACCTGCTTACCCCAACTATGGGTTCTCAGAGCCTCCAAAGTGGGAAAACAGCTGGTTGAGGAGCTGGACCCAGATCCCGCCTCCCAGCCACCTGCCCCTCCATGTCTGGCCACCTTCCGCCCCCTGCTGCTCACGGTGGTATGCTGGGCGGTGCCCTCCCGACTGAAGTGGCGCTCCACATATTGCGAGGACAGAAGGTGGCTGGAACAGAGTGGGCAGAAGGAAGGAGGGGTTGCTGAAGAGTCTGCGGCGGGCTTAGTCTGGGTTCCCTAGCCCCACCCACCTGCCTGCCCACCCTAACCCACTTCCTCCCGGCTCAAGGCCACACTTACTGGTTCAGCTCCAGGTCCAGCGTGAAGTTGGAGTTGAAGGCTGGAATGACAAAGCTCACTTGGGCGAGGTGGGCGGCCTGTGGGGAGGGCAGAGGGGTCAGTAGGAGTGGTTGCACCACAGTAGGTGTGGTTGCAGCAGGGCAGGGTGAGGGGAATGGGTATGGGAACAGGAAGCAAAAGGTTCCAGGGCATGGAGCAGCAGCTCTGGGTGATGTGATGTGACCCCAAAGCCCAGGGGGCATCCTCCACAAGCTCTCCATCCTCTGGAACTTTGTTCCTACATCGGGGACAGGGGCCTGGCCACCCTCTGCCTTCCCTAGCCATCTCCTGGAGTGCCAGGGACACAGCACAGCCTGCCAGGCCCTCTGTACTCTCCTCTAGGCAAGAGATGAAGGTCCCAGAGTGTCATGGGACAGGGGAGGCCCTGGACCAGGGGCAAAGGGGATTTGGGGAGCAGGGTCCTGGCTTCCGACTCCCGCCCATGTTTCTGGAGGTCTTGGCCTGTGCCCCCAGGTAGAGTTGGCAGAGAACGACCCAGCTGGGCCGCAGAGCCCCGGATACCGTCTCATCAGGAAGGATTTGGCTTGTCCACCCCCAAATCCATTGCCCTCTGCCTCTCCCAAAGCCGCTCATCTTTAATATTTCAACCCATGCTGAATTTTTAAACACGGAAGTTTTCCTGATAAATTTTTCAGAGGGGCCTTATATGCAGTGGGGCCAGGAGGCTCCAGGTTGCCATGGCAATGCACCAGGCTCCACAAATGGCTGACTTCCCAGGCCAGGCCTGGGCCACTAGCAACTATGGGGTGTATGGAGTCTCCAAGCCACCCCGGACAGGAAGGGCAGAGGGCACCTTAGCTGCTCCCACCCATCCCAAGCCGGAAGGCTGACCTTGGTCCTTACATAAGATGTGGAAGCATCTCCCCACTCATCTCCCTTCCCCAACCCATTGAAGAGATTGGAGCCTCAGATGCTACATGAGGTCAGCGCTGCACTGGACTGGCTCTGATTACACCCATATCCATGGACCCTCCCTGCCCTCTGGCTCCCTTCCTGAACTAGCCCCAACTCTGTATTCACCCTTGACTCCCTGCCTGGACCACCTGCGCCCCCTCCCCAGACTGTTTATGCTCTTGCCATCCAGTGACAAGCCCCAGCCCAGCCCTCACTCGCAGGCTGGACAGCCTCAGAGATGACCAGCAACTTCTCTATATCTGATTTTTCTGCTGTAAATGCTAAGATGAACCCAGGTGCTGAGCCTGGAGGCTGGGTGTGTGCAGGTCAGGCTGATGGGCACACAACCAGAGAGCATGTCTGCCTGGCCAGTCCTGCTGCAGGACACAGCTCTGTCCTGTCTCAGAAGGAAGAGCCAGCTCCAGCCCGCCTTGGTCCCTGAGTTGCTGCATCCCAGGAGTCCGGAGGAGAGGTTCCTGCTGGCATCAGTGTCCCTAGGCCCCCTAGCTGAGCTTGCCACTAGTATTCAAAGCCAAGCTACTTTCCTTGCCTGGCCCTGCCCTGCCCTTACCTCATCCCATAACCCTCATGCCCTAGGCATGTGTCCTTTCATCTTGGTACATCACCCCAGTTTCCCCGCCCCCCCGCCTCATGCCCGGCTGAGGATGGCTGCTGCAGCCCTGTGCCCCGCACCTGGCCTTTGCCTCCCAGCCACTGGGTTCTCACGTGCTCTAGCTCACTTCATCACAGCATGTCCAGGCTGCTGGGCCCCAGGCCAAGGCTCAGGGAGAGGGACACCGGAGGTAACTGGCTCAGGATCCTGGCTGGGTAGGGTCGAGGCCGTTTCACCTTGGACTGGAGTTCAGGTCTGCTGCGACCCTCTGGCTGCCTGCCTGGCAGAGAGATAGTCCCAGGCTCACCTATACTCCTGGCACCTGCTTAGGGGCACTGGACTCCATCCTTTTCTTTTCCCTGTGTTGCAAGCCTGGTCAGAGGCAGGCACAGAGAGAAAGCCAAAATTCTGCTCAGGTTCTAGGGTTGCCAGTGTAGATGCCCAGGCTCTGTTCTGGACCCCCAGAATCATAGTGCTGAAGCAGGGATGTTCCCAAGGGCACTGGGCAACTCACACCCCACAACTTCCAGCTGCACCCTTAGAGGCTTACACCTATCCCCCATCCACACCACCACCTTTCCCAGCCTCATCCACATGGCTGGCAACTGCCAGTCGACCCAAGGCACCATCAAAAGCCAGTTCTTACTGATGCCCCCATCCTGGGCATTAGTTCTGCTGACCGCCCCCCCCACCCCACACAGCTGCTCTCAGCCTTAGCTTCCCATGGGTGAGATGGAGCTGTTGTGAGGGCACATGAAAGTCCTGTTAAGGTTGCCACAGATGTCCGTAGTAAGAGCAGCAAATGAACAGGGAAGAGACTCTGGGCCACTTCCTATGACAGGACCTGTCCCAGTGTGGCGCTAGGCGCTCCATCTGGGTGTTCCCTGAGGAAACCCACCCTGTTCAGAAATGCCACGTGGTGGGCAGGGAGAGTGTGGGGCTGCAAGAAGCAGGAGAAAACCTCCTAACAGTCTGGGCATCAGCAGGCAGGGGACTGCCAATGGTGAAACCAGGTGGACCACTTTCCTGATGGGATCTGACCTGTCTTTCGAGCACAGTCACCCCTTACAGGGTCACTGGTTCCTCTGGGGACAGACTGGACATCTGGGCTCCCCTCAGCAGCCGGGAGGGATACTTGTATGAGGCCAAGTCTGTCATCTGGTGTCCGGACAGGAAGGCCTCTAGGCACAGGGCCCTCGCAGCCAGCTCCTGCCTTGTGCCCCACAGGAAAGCCTCAGTTACTTGACCCCTGTTCGGACCGCCAGCCTCTGGCTGAGGCGGGTGCGGTATCCTGCCTCGGGGACACTAGGGACTGAACAGCTGCCTCACCGCCCCCAGCTCCTCCCAAGAACCTCCAGACCCTGTTCCTTCCTGAAGAGGAAGAGTGGATGGGGCAAAGAGCGGGCTGTGGCTTTGCATAGACACCACATACTTCCTGCAGCTCGCTGTCCATAACCATCATGTTGCAAGGACAGGGAACAGAGGCCTTCGCACAGCTGCCCGTGGTTCTTTCCATAACTGCTTGGCTGGGCAGCGCTGGTGGCCATTAAGCTGGTGCAATGAACCCCTGCCTGCTGGCCGGGGCCCCCTCACCCTGGTCCCCAGAGAATCTGGCTGCCCTGGGACCAGCCCTGTTCACTGGTAACTTTGAATGGATGGAAATGGTGCCTCTTTGGCTAGAGCCTCAAGGCCTTTGGGCTCCCTTCCACCCAGCCTCCTCCTGCCCAGGTGCTCTTGAGCAGTGCACAGCCAGCCCAGCTGTGCAGGGCCCTGCTCGCCCTTCCATTGTTCCCTGCGGCCATCACATTCCACCACTGCCTACATTTCCTCACCACTCTGGGCCCTGTCTGCACACTGGACAGAAGGTAGGTGACAGGGAGAGGGCTAGTGCTTCCAAGGGTCACTCTAGGCTGCTGCTCTGGTATCAATCCTGACTCTGACCCTCTCTTCCTCTTTTCCTACCTGCTAGACTTATGAACAGTGGAAAGACAAATGCACAGGAGGAGAGCAGTGGAGCTGCCCCTGGCCGGAGCCCTGGGTCTGGCCATTTCTCAGCTCCTGGTTCCTCACTGGCAACCTCCCCTGCCACATCCCAGTTTCTATCCTACCCCACCCCACCCCACCCCACCCTACTCTGCCATCCCATCCATCAGTCAAGCCAGGCTGTTCCTCCTGGTTTGGGAGCTGGGGTTCGGAGGCGAGGTAAGCAACGCAAAGCCAGAGTGGGAAACCTCCACAGTGGCCCTGCCAGCCAGTATGAGCCCCCAGTCTTGCCAGGGCCACCCCCTTACAGGCTTTTTATGGAGAGCAGCAGGGCTGCCACTAACACCTACTCCAGCCCAAGTTGTCAACCAGAGGGGCCCCTCCCCACCTTTTGGCGTCCTGCGGCTTGCCCTGCTGGCTGGGAGGGGTTGGGGTCAGGCCTCTGGAAGGCAGAGTGGTACAGAGGGAAAGCCCTTCTGCTAGGATCTCACGGTCTCTGGGCAGGTTGCCTCACTTTGCTCATCTGCAGGCTGGATAGACAAAGTCACCACCAGCCTGATGTGTGCACACGGCTCAGCAGGACACCTGGCCCAGGGAAGTCTGTGGCATTGGCCACCCTCTCCTCACCACCTCAGGGGAAAGCATCGGAAGGCACAGGTGCAGGAGGGCCCTGGGCAAAGTCCCCTTCCATCATTCACACACATACTGCACAGGCATATAATGCACAGGTATGGTGCCCCTCCCCCAGTCTGCAGGTAGGCTCCCAGGCCCCCCAACTCACCCTGATGTAATCCCACAGGCATTCCTGTCCCCTCCCACCCCTGCACACCACTCTTCCTCTTCTAAAGGATCAGTTTGAAGGATCACCTCTGGGGTCTTCCATGTGTCATCCCCACCCAGCCCCATGCTGCTCCTTGTCTCTGACCCTGACATCTTAGTGGCACCCCACAACCACCATCTGCACAAGCCAGGGCATGGGATCAGGCAGGGTCAGGGATGCCAGCCAAGGTGGCCTGGGATGCACAGGTCACAGAGAGCAGCGCCAGAGGCCAAATGGGCAGCCTTGGTTCCTGGGTAGGCGCTGGAGCCACTTCCACTCCCACCCTACTCCCCTGGCTGCCAGCTCAGGCCATTAACCCATCCTGCCCCCTCCCCTCCAGGCGGTGGGCCAGAGTGATGGGCCATCTATTATGCATGCTCCCTTCCTGCTCCTTTCCATCTCCAGGGCTTACCGGGCCCCCTGTGCCACCCCACACCCCCTCCCCCGAAGGGCTTTTAATGGAAAGCAGCAGGAGAGTGGCAGGCAGGGCCGCTGCCAGTCCAACAGATGCGGTAACGTTAGCCTCCGTTTCCCTCCTTCCTCCTCCCGCCCAGCCTGCTCACCTCCCACCACTCCCAGCTGCCAGAACTCCCCAGGCAGGAGCTGCACCCATCCTAGGAGCCTCTGCCCCTCCTCCCTGCCAGGCCTTGGCCACCTAACCCTCAGTAGCCTCTGATGGCCTGGCTAACTTTCAGCTCCAGGCTCCTGGAGAGCCAAGGACGTGCATATTCCATCTGGGTGATTATTATTCACATGATATTAATTAATTATTAATTGCAATTAATCTCTTTCATTCCTCACCTTCCTCTGGGAGGTGGGGGGAGGTTGGTGCCTGCAGCTGAAAGGGACAGGGGTGGGTAGAAGTGACAATTGTGGGTGAACCTCAAGCCCTGTCCTAAGTCCTCACCTGCAGCCAGGACAGGAAGAGACCTGGCTTGTTCATGCACAGTGGGAAACTGAGTCAGGAAGCTCTTTTGGGAAAGCCCACAGAGAGTGGGTTTGACCGGAACCTGAGAGCCCTGGTCCCTTCTCCCTTATCCCCCCTCGCTGCTCCCTCACCCCCTTTCAACAGACTCACTAACTTGGGCAGGAGGGTAGTGAGGGCAGCAGAGCCCTGCCCGGCGAGAAGCTAGGCTGCAGACTGGCCATTGCAGGGTCCTGGGATGCGGAACTCCCACTGGAAAGAGGGGTCCTGCAGTGGGTGCCTGAGGGGCGCCTACTAGAGGCCCTAGTTGCACACCCGGGGCAACTGCACTGTGGGTCCCCTTGGCTCGTAGGCACCCTTCTGCCCAGAGCCTCACCCCCCACCAGCCCTACTCACCGGCCCCCCGGGTGACTCCTGGCGGACCCTGGTGTCCAGCTGCTGTTTCCGGATCTCTCCCCCTGAGCTTTGGTCCACCAGACGGCTGGGCTGGGTGACCTCAGGGGCTTCTGGGCCCCCCATCTGGGGTGAGACACCCCAGCGCAGAGCTCCGGTGGGACCCCAAACCCCAAGACCTAGAAAGACAAGGCTATGGATGTAGACCGGTGCCCACCATGGGGGCTGGAGACTCGGAAATGGGCCCTTGGCCACCCATCCCTCTACCCTGGCGTGGTGGCCCTGTGAGAACCAGGTAACAAAATCTGGCTCTCCTGCGGAGGGGGCGCCCCGCAAGGAAGGGTCGGATGGAAGCTTTCTCCTGCCCAGCGGTCACGACTGCCCCCCCAACCCCCAGCCCGCAGAGACCTGCAGAGGCCGGCGGAGGCGGGGAACGGCGGTCGTGGGACGGCCAGATGGGGACAGGTGGGTGGCCGCACCGTCCCTCCTCTCGCGCTCCCCCATCTCGTGCCCGGGACCGGCTGCCACCCCGGACACTGCAGGGATACGGCTGCAGCGGAGGCGCCGCAAATCCAGGGCGGGGGCAGGGAGGGACGCTGGGCCGTGCTGGGTCGGGTCGGGCTGGGCCGGGCAGGGCCGCGGGGGCACTCACCGGGCGCGGGGAGCAGCGGCAGCAGCAGCGGCAGCACCGCGAACGCCCAGCGCCGCAGCCGCCTCATGGCTCGCTCATCCCCCGGCTGCGGCTGCAGGCGGGCGGGCGGAGGCCGGGGGCGGGGAGGCGCCGGCTGCGGAGCCGGGGCGGGGGCGCCGCCGGCCGGTTCGGGGGCGGCGGGGCGGGCGGCGGGCTCAGCGCGCTCGGGCCGCGGCCATCCCGCGGGGCGGCGGGGCCGGGTTAAGAGGCGAGCGGCGAGCACGTGAGCCCAAGGCCCGCCCCCGCCCCCCGGCCCCGGGCCCGCGGGCTCCCCCTCCTCGCCCCAGCCCCAGCCCCAGCCCCGCAGGGCGGTCGCAGCGACGGGAGGACAAAAGAGGAACCGCCCGGCAGCCCCTTCCCCATCCACTCCGGGCAGGTGCACAGCCCGGCGCACCTCTGACCCCGGGCGGCTCCGTGAATTTGTACAGGGAGCGTGCAGGGTGCAGCAGGATTCGCGGGTCCTGACTCAGTCGTGCGCCCGTCTGGGCACCCGGGGCGGCGGCTGGGTCCGTGTGTCCCTCCGGTGTAGCACCCAAGAAAGAGTAGCCCCGACTTGTCCCAGGGCACCCCGGCTTACCCAAGACTGGGGAACTGGGTGCGCTCCACAGCCAGGGATCTCTCTCAACCTGGTAGTCCTGTCTGGCACATGCATGGGCCGGACCCACTTGCGGGCTGCCTGCTGGGACCCTTGGGAACCGGCTAACCCCTGGGCACTCCTTTTGGGTTCCTGAACCTCTCACGCAGGTCAACCTGGCTCTTGCCTCGAAATAGAAATAACCCCCTCCCACCCAGGAGGCTGAGGCCCTATTTCTGCCCTTGGTTTGCTAGTCCCTGTATTAGAGCGCCCCAGCTTCCTCACTCTGGTTGGCTCCTGTGCCCGTCCTCCTCAGCTTTGCCCTTCAACTCTGCTCCTGGGCTCCCAGCTACACCGGGCCCAGTCTGAGGGCTGTGATCCTAGCTTTCCAGGAGGGGTCTTAGGAGCCAGAGGCCTGAAATGGGTGGGAGGTCCTGCTCCCCCAAGGGGAGCTGGGGGCCTCAAGCCATCCAAATGTGTGGAAGGGAAGGAATGGGGGGACATGGGAGCTTTCTCCGTTTCCACCTCCAGCTTGTGACAGTTCCCCCCTCCCCCCCAAGCTCTATTTTAGGCCCAGGAGAGGTGAGAAGGCAACTTTCTGGGGAGGCACTGACATCAATACCAGGAATGCAGTGACCCCACCCCCTAGCCACCTGCCTCTCCAGACCCAGATGGTGTGTGTGGGGTAGTATGGACGCCTGCATCTGGAGACTTGACTTCTCTCCAGGTCACAGCTGTCAAGGACTGCCAGGGGGCTGCAGGAGCAGTGAGCAGGCTGCCCTCACTGCCCACATCTGTACCTGCTTTCCAGGATCAGAGGGCACATCTGAGCTCTTCCCCCCCTGTCACTCGGCACCCTAGCCACCTGCCCTGCTGGTACCTCCTCCTTGGGGCACCGTAGGCTGCTCCAGTCCTTGTCCCCCTCCACCTTCCTACAGATACTTTCCTTTTCAGGTTCCCAGCTCAGCATACACTGCATGGGTGCAGTCCAGCTGTGCAATGAGGGCCTTCCATCTCCCTCCCCTGCTCCCTTCCACCTGAGGTCAAAGCAGTCACCCAGGTCCAACATGTTGTCTCTAAGGCCTGTGACCAGGATGGTAGGGAGCATGATGCAGGCCCAGGGTTCCAGGTGGGGATCCCTGCACCCACTCCCCCAGTGACTTTGGGTACCACGTTCTCCAAGTGCTGCCCATGAGTTGGGGACAAAATATGGCTGTACTGCACATGCTGGGCATGGGGCTGTCACGTGTTGCAGAACCAGAGGAAGCAGCAGCAGCCAGACCCTTATCCCACTCCCAGGCCCCTTTCAGGACTCCAAGCTCAGAGCAAGGGGAGACTGACAGGCCATGGGCTGGGTGCTGGGCTGGGCTGTGGCAACTGCATTCAGATAGGAAGTTCATCCTTATCCTGCTCTCTCGGATCCCAGCCCTGGGACACCCCTCTGCTCTTCTTTTCTAAATCCACTGGTCCACTCTCCAAACAGCTGCAAGAGCCAGGGCTGGACCAGGATGAAGCAGGCCCCAGGACCCTGGCGTGGGTGCAGGGCTCTGAACCCTTGCACCATCCTGTGCTGCTTTTCCAGGTGCATTAACAAGGAAGTGGAATAGCCGGGCTGCAGTCTGCACACAGAAATGAGTTGTGGATGTGGCAAGTGAAAGGTTGACTCACTGCACCTACTCTAGCAGGTGTCACCCAGGCACTCAGACCCCCTAAATGTGGACAGCCCAGGCACAGGCATTCTCCAAGAGGCCCAGGGACTGGCAATCTCAACGTGCCCTTAGCAGCTTCACCCAGACCCACAGTGGAGAGGAGGACGTGGTTCCAGACACTGCAGAGTTCGGGGGCTGGGAGGCCCTGCACATGTGTGTGCGAGGGGTAATGTGTATTGAGAGTACATGCCAAACACTTGTTAGTTCTTGGGACTTCCCCATGAGGTAGTAGACTACCCTGTAAGGAAAGTGAGGGGTGCCAGTGGATGTGTTCCACCTTGCAGCGCCTAGCTCAAGTTCTGGTTTCAGATCCTGTTTCCTGCCAATATACACCCTACAGGGCAGTGGGCGGGGCAGCAGCTTGGTCCTTGTCACCGATGTGTATGTGCAGCCCTGGTTAGGACTGGAGGGAACCTTGGGAGTCTGGGAGCCAACTTGAGGCCAACAACGAAGTCCTGTGCTGAATGAACAGATGGGAACAAATGAATGGACCAGAGAGTGAGCAGTGTCAGGGGCTATAACCCAGGACCAAAGCAGGCTCGTGAGGACCTGAGGGGAGAGGGCCCTGGTGGGACTCTTCAGGAGGGGGCACGGGCTGGTGGGCGGCCACACTGGGCGTGGACTACAGGCAGCTGCCGTAAGAGCAGGCAGCAAGCTGCTGAGTGGCTGGGCAAGGAGCACAGGAGGGAGGAAGAGGCAGGGAGGGACTGAGTGAGGGCAAAAGGTGGGGAGCAGCAGAGTGGGAAAGAGAAATGCAGAGAAATGTGTAGTAGTATGCTGTGGCAGTCCTCTCCCACCCCCTCCCCTGGGCTCCTAGGGTTCTGAGTCAAGGTCACTGCCCCCTGGTGGCTGTAGGGATGGGGCCCGAACCTAACTTCTGCTACCCAGCACACCGGGGCTCTGGTATCCCGGTTCCCCTCCAATTCAAACCACAGCCTGGACACAGTGTGGGGAAGTGGCCAAGGAACACCACAGCCTCAGGCTTGGCCTGGCAGAGCTGCCCAAGGTCACAGTCCTGGAGGTGGAAGGGCAAGGCCATGGGCTATGGCCACTGGATGTGTGTGTGCTGGGAGTGCTGGGGGTGGGAGATGGGCCTGGAGAGCTGTGAGCCAGCAGCACATGAGCGCACCAAAGGGACCTCACTCGGAGGAGGCTAAACGTGACGGCAGTGGGTGCTGGGGCATCCCCACCCCACCAAAGAGACGCCCCTCACAGGGCACGGGAAGAAGGCCCTGGGAGGGGGTGACTGGCGTGGCCTGGGCAGTGGCCCCATCCTCTGTGCCCCATATTCTGTCCACAGCTGCTGGGCCCTGAGTCCTGCCTGGGGCCACCTGGTGGGCAGATGGAGGACCCAGGCACAGCACTGCAGCCCCATCTCTTTGCTGTTCATTGTTAACAAATTTATTTCCATTTCCTGAACCAAGATGAACTGTGATGTGTGAAAGAACAAGCCAGGCCTGGCCTCTAGGAGGGTGGCACATTTGGCCGCTGTTTTCAAACAACCTGGCCCTCTCCATGGCTGGGCCCCGTCCTTCCCCAGAAAGGAGGAGCTGCAACTGCTTCCGGCAGCTCCAACGTTCAAAGAGACAAACAGGCAGGGAAGGGTGAGAAGAACCACAGCACAAATGGGAATGAAAAAGTGGCCAAAGAATCGATAGCAAACCCATTTCTGTCTCCAGATTAATGGCTCAGCTGCAAGAAATGGGGGGAGGTCCTGGGGGAGGGCAGGGGAGACGCCCAGGCTTGGCAGGAGGCACTGACCCCATCGGCAGCACTGGGTGGGCGGCTGGGCTGAGGCGGCAAAGAGCTGAGGGGGTCCTGGGGGGGCGGGTTCAGGGCAGGCTGTGCTGGGTCTCATTAGGACGGGGTAGGGGGCAAGGTACAGAGTGCCATGTTTGGGAGAGGAGACCACAAGGCCGGGGGGGCCATCTGGTTGGGGGCTGGGCTCTACAGGGAGAGGTAGATACCCTGGAGGGGCCTCTGGCTGCTGCACCTGCCTCTTTGTGGGCCCGGCCAGGAAGGCAGCCTGGTTTCTGCCTTCTGGCTGGTCAGGCCCGCTGGAGGCGGCTGTGAGCTCAAGACCACAGCCGGAAGCAGAGACAGTAGAGGGCAGCCCCAAACTGGATAGACAGGAGAAGATGGCCAGCTCCCTGTGCGGTGGGGCTCTGCTCCTCTAGCTGACCTGATTAGTCCAGGGTGGGTGTCCCAAGCAGAGGGACACCCTGGATGTGAAGCACCTCTGCCTGCAGCTGTGTGGCTTGTGAGAAGTGGTCCCTGGGGACTCAGAGGAGTAGCTCCGGGCCAGCGCTAGGCTGAGGCCCGGGTTGGGGGACGGGCAGACAGGGCACCTGCAGAGGTGGGGAGGCCCAGAGCCACCGGGAGCAGCTGGCTCCAGCACTGGCTGGCAGAGCCTGGGGGATGGAAGAAGCTGGGGCCTCGGCAGGGCCTCTTGGGGTTTGTGGGTCAACAGTTGACAGCTGGCACGGCACTGGTGGGCAGCTGGAGTGCTGGTCAGCCTGCTGGGACACCGGGAGTGAAGCTGCTGATTCTGGGGGCCGGCCTCCCCCGGGCCAGGGTGGTTGCGCAGCCCAGCTCTCTGCCGGGCTGTCCACAGGCTGCCAGGGAAAGGAGTCTGGGATGGAGAGGCAGCTCTGTGGGTGGCTTGTGGGCAGGAGGGAGGCTGAGGGCCTGAACCCCTGGCCTGGGGGAGGAAGGGGAAAGTGACTACCGCAGGGGCTAGGGGTTCGTGGGACAAAGAATGAGGCCTGTGGCCAGCATGTTCCAGGTCTCTTCCCAGCACTGCCACTGGGGAACTGCACCTTGCGCTTGTGACCCACAGGGGCCGAGTCTGAGCCAGAGGAAAGGTCTGTGACAGCAGAGGCGGTCCAGGGGCACTGGCAGGTGGTATTCTGGGTGGCTGGGCTCCCTGGAGTGTCCATGAGTGAGCCCCCTGGCTCTTGACAGCGTGCTCCTGGTTCTGTTGCCTCATCGGTCCCTACAGATGCAGCTGGTGTGGGCATGTTGCTCATCAAGTCATCCTGCTGTGATGTGCCTGGGGCCTGCAGGGGGTTGCTCTTCATCTCTGGTGGTGCTACCCTGGGGTGGGAGGGCTGGCTGTGGGGCAAAGCCTTGGCACAGACAGGGTCAGCGTCAGGAGCTGGGTCACTTGACTGCCTGTGGGAACAGGAACATGCAGTGAACTGCAATACACAGCTCTGGGGGAAGCGGCAAGCTGGGGAGCAATCTAGGCCAGGGCCAAGGGCACCTGTGGGGCCACTCTGACAGGCGCACTCTGAGGCTGACCCTGTGGTGGTAACCAGAGGTTTTCACAGAGGAGGCTGTGTCCACCCTCTGCTGGCTGTCCAAGCCCAGCATCATGGTGCAGCTACAGCTAGGAGCGCCCCAGAGGGGCCAGCCTTGGTGGTCCCTGAATCCCATCAGACCTCCTGCTCAGCTCCCTCATCCAGGGCACCAGGAGCCACGCCCACTGACCCTTCCACCTCAGCATCTGAGCAGGAAGAAGCAAGGGAGCCTGGTCCATGAGCTGAAGCCACTAAGGGAGGCATTGGGTGAGGGGAGGGAGAGGGGGAGGAAGGAACAGAGTGTCACAGCTGGGTCCCTGCTGCTGCCAACTTGAGGCTTTTCCTTCCAGTGAGGGTTACAGGGGTGTGGGGACTCACCTGGGCAGGCCAGCCTGCAAGGGGACATCTGCCAGGCTGTGGCTGAGCTGGGCAATGAGCTTGTCCACCTCTGCATAGGGACGAGCTTCCAGGGCAAAGCCCTGGTGCTGGGCACTCTGCAGGTGCTGCCAGGGGAGAAGAGGCATGGCACGTTAGGCTGTCATCTGGGCCAGCCTGGAGCACGGCCACCTCAGACTGGGTGGGAGGTTGGTCCTTTGGTGGGTCAGGGCTTACCACGTGGAGCTCGTGGAAGGCCTCCTGGCAGCACTCACAGTACCCCTTCTTCCTCCGGGGCACGGTGCGAGCTGCCGACCGCAGACTGGGGTCTCTGGGCTGGTGTTCTCTGGGGAGAGGACAAGGCCGAGAGGTCACAGCTGGGCCTAGAGCCATGGCCAGCACTGGTACCCAATCAGGAGGGCAGCCTGGCCCACCTTCACCCCTTCTCAAACTGCAGGGAAGATTAGTGCAGATAGCAGTGGTGACAGGGACAAGGAGCTCCAGTTCTGTCCCTCCCCAGTCCTGCCTCCCTCTGCCTGCACGCTGGAAGGGGAAGGACCCAGCAGTGGCCCTCCTTGGCCCCCTGTGCTGGCCCCTCTCCATTGGTGTGGCCTGGCTCTGCCTTCCCTCACAGCTCCTCCTGCTCCTGATGCTGCTGCAGGGCTGTCCTGGCAAGCTCCACGAGCCCACCTTTCCAATGGGACATGACTCTGAAGAGCATGTGGAGGGGTTCATGGACTCAACCAGATGCAACTGGTTTAAGTGGAAGCGCAGCAAAGCCTTCTTACAAATCAGTGAGGGAGTCAGCAGTGATACGCAGGAGGGAGCCAGGGCCTGGGCAAGCTAGATGCACAGAGGTTCCACCTCATGCACAGCAGACCTGACATCACTCTGGGACACAACATCTAGACTACAGCCCGGTCAAGGCCAACATGCTCAGCAGCACGGGTGTCAGGTGCGGGGATGGAGAGCAGTGTGGGATAAGGGCACCTCAGCCCCACTTATCAGCCTTGTAATGTGGGTACCCCGTACTCACACTTCCACCTGCAAATGGAAGTCCCACCCCCACTGCTCATCCAGGCACCTCCCCACCTCCCAGTCACAGATCTGTCACAAGGAATAGAGTAAACCCACTGGTGGAATACTCTTGACACCATCAGAAGGAGCCAGGATGCCTGCTAGGTTGGCAGGGAAGAACGTTAAGATGTCTCAGGGGCATACAGTGAGTGCCAGCCCAGCACAGCCCACACTCTTCCTCCACAGGGAGGAGGAACCGTGGAGGATACCCAGCACCTCTGTGTGTACCGAATGCCTCTAGGGCCAGATCCAGGACCGCAGGCTGGGATGTGGGAGTGGGGGAAGTTTTTGCTTCCCAACTCTGGAATCCAGAACCAAAACATACATCATGTTTTCCACATGCTCCTGGAGCCCGGAGGGCCCAGATAAGCTAGCCCCATTACTGGTTCCTCACCCATGAGCCAAAGTGTCCCTGCCTCGCCAGGGAAGTTGTCTGGGGTCACCCTGCAGCCGGCTCTCTGTGGGATCCCGCATGCCTGGGCCCATGGGACTCAGCCTCACTCCTTCTCTCTGCACTCCTTTCCAACTCCCGCCACAACCCTTTCTTCTTGCATCCTGGTGGTACTGTGAGTACCTCCTCTCTCTGCTGCTGGGTGTCACAGGTAGCTGCTCAGGCCCCAGCTGACTGCTGGTCCACGGCTACGTTGGCGCAGGCCCCCTTGGCAGCAGGCCTTTGGCCTGGAATCAGCCCTGGGCACTTGGAAGGACCAGACCTACCTGGGTCGGTGCAAGCTGCCAGGCGTCCATGGGGCCTCAAAAGGGCTTGCGTCTTTGGGTCCCAGAAAAGAAATTTCAGGAAAGGATTTAAACTGGTGGTGGCAAGGACGAAACTTCCTGAAACACAGAAAACCTCCACTTGGACTACAGGGCACAGGGTCAGCCAGCACCCTAGGAACGGTGTACCTGCCTGCCCTGGTACCTCGGTCCCCTATGGCTGTGCTCTGCGCAGGGAGATAGCACCTCTGTTTGCTCTCCAGGGGGAAGGGGAAGCTGGGGACCCCCGGGACTCACCCAGGGGTGCAAGTCTGACTCAGTGACCGAGGCCAGAGCAGAGGTCCCCGCTCCAGACAGTGTACCCTCCCATTGTCTCCTGACCTCCAGGAACCTCAAGTCCCTAGCTGGGCAGAATCTGAATGGGGGTGTGTTTCCTCTTCTACCCAGGACACCATTTTGGCATTGTGAATGGAGGCAAGAGACACACAAGTTCCAGACAGTTGGGCTGGCACTGTGGTGTAGTGGGTTAAGTGGCTTCCTATGGTGCTGGCATTTCCCATATGGGAGCTGGTTTGAATCCTACCTGCTCCACTTCCAATGCAGCTCCCTGCTCAGATGGCCCAAATGGTTGGGCCTCTGCACCCACGAGGGAGACCTGGCTTCTGGCTTCATCCTGGTACAGCCCTAGCTGTTGGAGCCATTTATGAAGTAGACCAATGCAGAGAGGTTCTCTTTTCTCTTTTCTTTGTGACTCTGCCTCTCCAATAAATAAATCTTTTTTTTTTAAAGGAGATTTATTTATTTTTATTGCAAAGTCAGATATACAGAAAGGAGGAGAGACACAGAGAAGATCCTCCGTCTGATGATTCACTCCCCAAATGAGTGCAACGACCGGTGCTGTGTCGATTCAAAGCCAGGAGCCACGAACCTCCTCCAGGTCTGCATGTGGGTGCAGGGTCCCAAGGCTTTGGGCCGTCCTTGACTGCTTTCTCAGGCCACAAGCAGGGAGCTGGATGGGAAGTGGAGCTGCTGGGATTAGAACCGGTGCCCATATGGAATCCTGGTGTGTTTTAGGCAAGGAGTTAAGCCACTAGGCCACTGCGCTGGGCCCCAATAAATAAATCTTAAAAAGGAAAAATAAGTCCTGGATAGCAGCACATGGAGAGTGCTGCCCTGGCTGGCTGCCTCCAGTTGCTTGCACTCAAGAGACGTCCAGAGCCAGCACAGATCGTGTCTGCTCAGCAAAGCTACTGACGGGTGCTGCTTGCACTCTGGGGTGCGGAGGGCAGCCTCGGGCTCCAGGGGCTCCTGTATTCAGGAGCGAGTGGACAGCCGAGTCCCACTGACTGAACCCTTAGGGAAAAGGCGGTACCCTTCACAAGCCTGGTGTCCTCTTTCTTTCTGCCAGTCACATTTTTGTTCTTTAGGAGGCTTGTCATGCTAAGGGCTTCAAAGAGCAGCTCACTTCATAGGAAGGCATGGATACACAGCTGTGGTCTCAGCTGCCACTCCCGCTGACCGAGGCCTCTGGGCTGATGGCCAAGCCCTCAGCAGCCTCCCCTGCCCTGTCCCTTACTGCTGGGCCACCAAAGTCAACTTGGTGTGAGCAGTTGTGCGCAGGGGGGAGCCAGGCCAGGGGCAGGACAGCCCCTTCCTGAGGAACACAGAAAGTCCTTTTCCTTTCTAGGAACTTCTATTCTGAGCTAACTACAGACTTAGTGGACTTCCAAGCTAGTGCGTACCCAGGTGGCTGCTCCCAGGTCTGCAGGCTGATACCCCACGTGACCTCTTGCTCTAGGCAAGCAGGGGGACAGAGGGCCGAGGAGAAACGCCCATGCAGTTGGGATCCCCGGCCCCTCGCCCTGGAGGCTGGACATGAGCCCCTCTGACCTCAGTTTTCCCCACAGGAAGAGGGTGGCCTCTCCTGCTCCTGTCACCCAGGCCTGTCACAAGTGAGCATGCACCAGCAAAGCACTTCCTAAAGTGAAGCATAAAAGCCATGAGAAGGGATTCCCCATGGCCACCCGGTATTTTCATGGTAGCTATGATGACGAACTGAACAGTGCTGGCGCTGAGCTGTCAGAGGGAGGCAGCTGCGAGGAGACATGCCCCAATGGGCTCACGAAAGCAGCGTTCACACAGGACTCTGCTTGACCCACCGGCAGCAGGGGTGCCTAGGGCGCCTGCCCCACCAGCCCCCCAGGTTTCTCCTGGTCTTCTCTGGAGAGGATGAAGCACAGGCTGAGTGGGTGAGACACCACCTGGGTCCCTGCCTTCTAAATGGAGCCTGGCTCAGGCCTCCCCTAAGTAGGACACCCAGTCCCATGTTGTGGGCATCTTGGCCATGATCAGTGGGTGAAATAACCTCGCCTTCCTGATAAAATGACTCAGTTCTTAGGAAAAGGTGTAGGGCTGAGGTGTGCTGGGTCCCCAGGATGGCTTGAGTCCTCTGTGCAGCATAGGGGTTGGGGCTGAGGGGTGGAGCTCCCGCCTACCTGCTCACATCTTCGATTTTGAGGAACGGTGCCTTCAGCCTGGCCACTGCAAGGGAACGGCATTCATGTTGGCCACCTGCCCTGCCACCCTCCCGCACAGTACAGGGCACCCCCTTGTGTGGGTCCTGGACATGGGTGGCCCCCATCTGAGTCAGATTCCTCTTTGTGGGTGCTGGGTGTTAGGGAACTCCAATGGCAGGATGACAGAGATCCTCTGGTTCCAAAGGGACCAAGGCAAGCAGGTACCCAGAAAACAAATCCAGCTAATCCCTAATTCCCCTCCCCAACCTGGGGCCGGTCACTAGTGGCCAATGCCCCCTCAAGCAGTAAGAACCCCTACCACCCTCCCTCAGTAACCAGGGTCCCATCTAGGGGGTGGGAAGCCTAACAGTCAAGTCCCCCAGGACTTAATGGACCTAATGGACGGACCTAACAGGGTGTCCCCCAGGGTGGCTCCTGGGCCACCCGAGGCAGCCACCAGAACCCAGGCTGAGCTGCCTTTCCTCCCTGGGCAGCAACTCCTGTTAATCACTTGTCTTGCTAATTAACTGAGCCAGTGATTAAAATCCATTCCCCCACAGACTTCCTGGAATTTGGAGTGTGAGCAAGGTGCCAAGTGACTCCCCTTAGCTCCTGCAGTGCAGGAATAAATGCCACTGAAAGAGCATCTCTGGGAGAGGCACTTGTTCCAGCCCAGGGGAGCCGGCACCCATCAATCTGTCCGCTTGTCAGTTCTGGTGAGCTTGGCATTTCTGCCAACAGAGACAGCTGTCAAACTGCCCACCCCAAACTGCTCCTGAGTCACAGAAAGAGGATCCACACTTCACTCAATGCCCAGGGACAGCCAGGAGACAAGGGTACCAAGGCCACGCCCGGTGGGTGTCCTGGCTCGCTCAGGAAACACCCTGCTCACCCCAGAGAGCTGAGGCCTGGGCTCTAAAAACCCGAGGGGGTGATGCAGCCTGGGCTCGCTTCCTGCCGCAAAAAAGTGAGCAGATGCCGCCACAGAGGGAGCCGTGGGGAGGTGTTTTTGGAGGGAGGGACTGCAATTAGAGGAGGCATGGTTACCACACTGACCTTTCCGTGTTCTTGTCTCTGCTGCTGGACGCGTTCCCTAAATGGAAAAGGAAAATAGGTTAGGGCCGTGAGGGAGCCACGGGGGTCAGGGAACTGGGCCTGGCGGGCCAACACGCTGCAAACCTGTCCCACTTTGTTTCCTGTGGTCTCTGGGCCTGAGCCGGAGCCGATCTGACCTCACTGGCTCCCCTGCTCCTGGGGGTCAGAGCGACGGGAGAGCTTGTGTGTGAACCTCCACAGCAGAGGGGATGCAGGACGGAACTAGGAGAAAGCTCAGGAACAGGAGGACCTGGAGGGCGAGGGGTGTCCATCGACCTCACAGCACAGGGGACAACTCAGCCTGCAGGAGACTGGCCCCCAGGGATGCTCACTGCACAGCAGCTGTCAGTCTGCAGGCCACGACTGTTCCAGTCACCTCATAAGACCAAGGTGAAGGCCATGCCATCTGCTCTCCTGTGCTCATTCCTGTGTCCCTCCTTTCTGTGGGTCAAAACCACATTTTGTTTCCTTTTTCACTTTTTTTTTTCGAAAAAAAAAAATTATCTGTTTAGTTCTTGTTTCATTTTGAAGAGTGAGACAGGAAGAAACCAGGAGCCCGGAGCCTGGAGCTTCCTCTGGGTCTCCCAAGTACTTGGGCTGTTATCTGTTGCCTCCCAGGGTGCACAACAGCAGGAAGCTGGACTAGAAGCCGAGCAGCTGGAACTTGAACCAGGCGCTCTGATTTGGTGTCAGGGCTCCATGTGGGGATCTAGGCCACTGCACTGACTGAAGTCAAGCTCGTGCTGGAGATGAAGGGCTGGGTGTTGGGCACAGCAGTGGAGAAGCTGTTCGAGATGCCAGTGTCCCATGCTGGAGGGCCTGGGTTCTAGTCCTCCCTCCACTCCGTAGCCCAGCCTCCTGCTCATGTGCCTCCTGGGAGGCAGCAGGTGATGGCTTAAGTACCTGAGTCCCTGCCGCACAGGTGGGAGCCCTGATTTGAATATTTAGCTCCTGGCTTTGGCCTAGCTCAGCCTTAGCTGTGGTAGCCATCTGGAGATATACTAATGGGTGGGAGATCTCTATGTCTACCTCTCAAACAGAATAAACTAAAAAAAGTGGGAGTGGATGAGAGGCTCAGCAGCTGGGGCAGTGTGGCTGTCTGGCACATGGATACAGGGAGGCCCTGGAGCCTCCTCCAGCACACAGTTGCAGGGAGCAGAGCTGGATAAGCCTCCTTCAACCCCCTCCCACCAACACAGCAGGTCACAGTCAAAGCTCCTACCAATACTCCCAAGTGGCCACCAAAGAGATGACTCAGTTGAAGGAGTTGGGGTGGGGAGGGGTTCTGCTGCCTTTAAACTCTTGCCAATTTTGAATATGGGTCTAGCACAGCTGATGCTCTGCCCAATCCGGCTGTGCTTTGCAGCCACTGCGAGGCCTGCCTGGTCCTGGGTACTAGTCCTGCATGGTCAGTCCTTCCTCAAGACATGGGCTGGGACAAGGACACCACAGCTTGGCACTGCTGGGCTCTCCTGCTGCAGTGTACACAGCTCTACATCCAGCTAAGAGGAGGCTCGGCACAAGGATTTGGAAGGTGGCAGCTATCTCAAAGCTCAACACCTCCTCTCCTTCTGCCCCTGCCACCTGCAGGCTCACCCCTAAGCCTGGAGCCGTGCTCAGAAGAGTGGCCGTGGGCATTCATGAAAGATTTCTAGGACAGGACTTCCCACAGGCTGCAGAGCCTGCTGCATGGATTGCCTCAGCGGGTGCGTGCTCAGCTGTGCACAGGTGGAAGTAAAGAATCGCGAGGCTCCCCTCCACCTGAGACTTGGGATGGCCAGGAAGAGGGAGGTGGGAGCTTCAGGTTTCATAAATAACTGCCATGGCGACGGGTCAGCGGCACCACATACCTCCGGCTTGCTGGGTTCCTGCTTCTTCACACTCAAAGACCCAAGAGACAGCTGCTGCACGTGCACCATCATGTCTACGGAGAGACAGGCAGGCTGTGGCCACTGCTCAGGACCGAATGCTTCTCCAGGCCAAGCAGCCCAACTGCCCGGCTGGCCTGCCACCTCCTGGCAACACAGGGAAGGGCTGGGTCCTGGCCCCTGCCCTGTGCGCTCAGGAACCTTCCTTTGGAGGTAATTTAATTTGTAAGAGGCAACACCTCTGGGGACACCAAGGAACCATCGAAGAGCTACTTCTGGGGGATGGTCAACCAAAGCAGCTACTCAGACATATCCTGGTATGCAAGGCCAGCAGGGGCTATCCCTGCTGGAGCTTCTCTGACCCCCAGGAATGCAGGAAGTAGGACCACATCAGAAAGGGTTGTTTTCCCAGTGAGATGGAGCCCCTCCACCCACAGCCAAGAATAAGAGGTTTCCCCAAGTAACCTCTCACACCCCCTGGAAGACACTGACAAAGGGAGAGGTATCATCCCATTTAGCCAGGGCAGCTCTCCCATGTGGAGCTACCCTAAGGTGGCTCAGAGGAAACCGACTCAGAGAGCAGCAAGGGCGACAGCAGTTCCTGCAGGCTTACTCAGTACACTTCAGTGCCTCAGGGGACGGCCTGTAAGCAAGCTGCTCATAGCGTGAGGTGACAGAGAAGAGAGGACAGTGTTTGCAGTTATGCCAAGCTTGGTGGATCAGGGGCCATAGCACTTCTGCTGGTGAGACCAGGGCCAGCTCACCTCACGCCTCGGAGTCAAAGTGGTGACTGCCAGCACAGTGTGCCTGGCTGGGTGGTGGGCCTGCTTCCCCATATCTATGCTAGGGCTATCACCTCAGCCGGGGAGGCGTGCTATCACCATCACTACTGCTACAGTTTGTTTCTGGCACCTGCAGGAGGCCCAGGCCGCAGTCCACGCTCTCTGCTGTCACTGTTTCTCCCAGCCCTTCCACGTCCACAAAGTGGTGTGGTAACTGAGTATTTCTGGCTCCCAGCTGCTTCGAGCTCACATAGCCTTGAACCCTCAATCAGCTGACATTTGCAGCCCAGAGCGGCCGCGCCCCCCCACCAGGGCCCGGGGTGGGGGGAGGAAGCAGTACCATCCACATGCAGGACCCTCACTCCCCAGAAACGGGCGTTATTCAGGAGGCTGCTGCTGCTCCCACTGCCGCCTCCGCTGCTGCTCCCCTGAAATGACAGAGCAGGTGAGAGCCCGAGACGCCCGCAGCCCGAACAAGACACAGTCAGGTCAGAACCACACGGGGAGCCCTGGTCATCTGTGCAAGTGACCGTGGGGTTGCTGGCTGGCAAAGAACATGAAGCCTGGAGTCCAGCCTGTGCCCAGGAACACACATCCTGCGCTGCACACGGGCTGGCCCCAACAGCAGGGGACCGGCTGCTGCTCTGTGTGACCTAGAACACGGGCTTCTAGAAGATCTGCCAGGAGGGCCTCCGTGGAGAGTGCTCTGCATGCAGCAGGTACACAGCAAGCACCAGTGATGTCATCGGGAGCACAGAGCAGGCAGTTGCTGGCTGCAGAGATCTCAGCGGCTGGCTCCATTCGCCTGGGCCGCTTGCTCCTTGCAGCCGTGGGACCCACCCTCACATCACAGCTCCCCTTGCACACATTCACCTCCACTCTTCCTGCTGCGCCTTACCCAGGTAACCAGCTACTGACAGCCGAGGTGTCAAGACTGGCTAACGTGTACAGTGGCTGTATCCTGCCACATCCTCCAAGGTTCTCTTGGCAGGCTCTTGAGCGGAGCCGCCTCTGGCTCTGACATACTCTAGGTGACTTGGGGCCCACAAATTTCTCTGAGCTGCCCCCACTCCCCCACCTCTAAGAAGAGACGAAGAAGGGAATGAAGGCACAAGATTTGGCATCACGCCTGAGTTCTGTGCGAGGCTTCAGCAGAAGTGCGAAAAGAGCCTAAACCCCTCCGTGCAGGCGACAGGCCCTTCCACTGCCATCTGGCCCAGCTCACCTGGTTTCTGATGGCCTTCTGCAGCAGTTCCTTCCCTCGGCTCATGGGCACCTGCCAGGGAGATAACAGCCATAGGGTGTGCTATGTGGACCACAGCATGGGCCCAAGTAGGTGTTTACACCTGAGCTGGTGCAGGTGTCAAGGGGCCATGTTCCTCAGAGAGCTAGGAGCAGAGCGGGCTGACAATCAGAAGCTTGCTCTTAAAAAAAAAAAAAAAATTTGTTGGATTGAAAATGGAGCACCTGGGACTTGAACTGGTGTCCACATGGGATGCTGATGCCACAGGTGGCGGCTTTACCCACTACGTCATAGTATCAGCCTCTCAAATCCTCTTTCTCCGTGCCCCTCAAATCCTCTTTTTTAAAAGCCAGCATTCTCAAGTAGTTAATGGCAGCCCTTGTTTCAGTTTAGAAAATGTTTTCTTTGTTCTTTGAAAGCTTGTGCCTCATCATGACGTTAACAGTGGACGCTCATGGACATTGTTTTTAAAGACTTTCTTTTTTTCAAAGGTAGACGGCGAGACAGAGATTTCCATCTAGCGGTTTGTTTTCCAAGTGCTGCAGCAGGCAGGTCTGGGCCAGGCCAAAGCCAGGAGCTCAGGACTCCACTAGGGTCTCCCAGCTGGGTAGCAGGGACCCAAGCACTTGCTGCTGCTCTCCTAGGCTCATTATTGGGAGCTTGCCCGGAAGCAGTGGAGCTGGAACTGGCACAGGTGCTCCAATGTGGGAGATGCTGGTACTGCACACAGTAGCTTAATCTGCAGCACTGCAACACTAGCCTCCACAGATGCCTATTTTAATATTAGCCTAAGTTAAGCAAATGCAAGTCTGAGGAAGAAGTTCCACTGTGTTCTGGTGGAAGGCATGACATATGTATGTCCAAACTGGCCTTCACACACAGGAGCAAGGGAGGCTGCCCAGGCCATGTCAGTACCACCAAGCGCTCTCTGGTGGGAAAGACTCTCTTTTTGCTTCTGAACTTCTGATTCTGGAGTCCCCAAAAAGAGTGACATACACAGGGCTGGCACCATGGCACAGTAAGCTAAGCCTGTGCCCACGGCACTGACATCCTACATGGGTACCGGTTTAGGTCCCAGCTTCTCCACTTCCTATGCAGCTCCCTGCTTATGGACTGGGAAAGCAGTGGAGGATGGTCCAAGGCCTTGGGGCTCTGCATCTCTCTCTGTAAATGTGCTTGTCCAATAAAAACAAATCTTAAAAAAGAGTGATGGGATGGCAGGGATGTGTTATTGAGTGGCTGAATCCTGAAGTCAAATGGGATTAAGGCCAGGTACACAGAGAGGCCAGATGGCCTGAAAGGGCTCCCAGTGCCCACGTCTCTGGTGCAAACAGACGCTTCTTCCACAGGGTGTTGGGGGTCCTCACCGAGTCCGTGGGCACCTGTGCAGGCCGGCTGTGGCTGCCCCGTGCATCGACGCTGGGTGGTATCTCCACTCCAACCTCTCCAGGGCTCAGGCAGACTTTGAGGCTGCTCCCACTGCTCTCTGCCTTCGCTTCTCTGCGGCTGGACACGATGTAGCTCACTTCTTTGCTCAGAAAACTCTCAATTACCTGAAACCAGATCACAGAGGTAGCTGACAACAAAACGGCAGATGCAGAAATGTCAATACTGAGAGGCTGGGAAAGGAAATCTTGGCTGCCACAAGGCTCAAAATCAATGTCTTTAAATAGACCCACTGCGGCTCCGTACCCAGCTCCCCGGAAATCCTCACAGTGAAACTAGGCACTGCCGCCCCTGAACCTGTGTGGCAGGCTCAGCCGAGCCCTGTGCCCACTCCAGCCTGCACACAGGACTGCCAAGGGGCCCGGCAGGGTTCACAGGAGCACGGTAAAGCCAGGATTTCCCTGTTGAGTTCCATACACAACACTTGCAGTCCTGATCCCAAAAAAGAGGCAAGAAAATACCACCAGCAGGAGCTACGTCACACCTGTTCACCCTGTCAGATGGAGTCCCTCACGACACTGAGAGGGTCTGACACAACTGCACATCCGGACAGCCCACCACAGCACCAAGACTAACAAGGACACTTGCCTCAGGCATGTAGGGATTGGAGACGGGCGTGAGCCAGACGGAGCTGGCAAATGCTTTTATCGGCCCACCCTCTGGGGAGGAAATCCTGTCTCCACAGGTGTGAGTTTCCGGTGGCTCCTCAGCACAGTGTCATCACACAAGGAGCTGGGAGAGGATGCTCACAGCTGCTTCTGATTTGTTTTAAAGTAATATACGGCCCCTTTCTGTCTCTCCTTCTCTTTGTAAATCTGGGAAATCCAAGGAAAAAACATATATTTTTATTAGAAATGTAGAGTTAAGTGGGGAAGATAGGAAAGCGGGAAGAGAGAGAGAGACAGATCTTTCATGCACTAGTTCATCCCCAAATGGCTGCAATTGTCAGGGCTGAGCCAGGCTAATGCCAGCAAAGAGCTTCTGGGTCTCTCACGTGGGTACAGTGGGCCACACACCACTGCTTTCCCAGGCTCATTAACAGAAAGCTACACTGCAAGTGCAGCAGCTGGGAGACAGATCGCAGGCAGTGGCTTAGCTCCTCAGCAGGCACCTGGCAGCTCTAACACAACCTACCACCCAGGAGCCAGACATCCTCCTCTGAGGTTCCAGAATTAGATAGATGTTCATCTGCTGGTGTCCCCATATTCATGAGGGTCCAAAAGCAGCAAGAGTTCACATGTACCACCAACAGATGAGAAGAAGACAAACAAAATGTGATATACACATGCAATGAATGCAATGAAATAATACTTAGCTACAAAACGGAATGGGTCCAAAGATATGCTACAATATGCACGAACCTTGGAAAGAGCATGTTAAGCGGAGTATGTCTGCCACAGAAAAACACACTGGTGCTTTCACTGACAGCAAGTTTTAAGAACAGGCAAGGTAAGAAGTAGGAAGTAGAACAGAGGTCATGGAGCATGGGGAGAGAGGAGAGGGGTGTTATTACACGACGGCTGTGGAGTTTATATTTGGGATGATTAGAAAACTTGGAAATAGTGGCGACAGGTACACCACAATGGAAGGACAACAATTAAAGACTTATATTTTTCTTTGAAGGTCAGATTTACAGAGAGGGCAGACAGAAAGATCTGTCCTCTGGTTCACTCCGCAAGAGGCCGCAACTGTCAGAGCTGAGCTGAGTTGAGCCAAAGCTAGGAGCCTCTTCTGGGTCTCCCACATGGGTGCAGGGTCACAAGGCCTTGGGCCGTCCTCAACTGCTTTCCCAGGCCATAGGCAGGGAGCTGGATGGGAAGTGGAGCTGCTGGGATATGAATCAGTGCCCATATAGGATCCTGGCATGTGCAAGGTGAGGACATTAGCCAGTAGGCTACCATGCTGGATAAAGAAGGATGATAACTAATGCCAAGGAAACACACACTTAAAAATAGTTCAAATGGAATATTTCATGTCAACAGTTAATTTTTAAATTATCTGAAATGCAGAGATAGCGACAGAGAGCCCTTTCAGCTATTGCTTCACTGCCCACATGCTCACCAACAGCTGAGGCTGGACCAGGCTGAAACAAGGAATCAGGAGTCCTTATGAGTCTCCCGTGCAGGTGGCAGAGGCCACCCACCTGAGCTGGTGCAGTGAGGCATCAGCAGGAAGCTGGAACCAGGACTCAGCCTACTGACACAGGATGGGAGCATCCCAACCAATGGTCTGACCACTATGTGTATACTTTCTATTCAAGGTTGCTAGAAATCAGAAATACCCTACAAGTCAAGACAACCGATAAAATCAATTATCCACTCAGGATACTCTATTTTCATTATGAACAATGCATATAAAGGGCAAGAAAGAAAGGGAAATGCTAATGCTTAAAGGTTATGGGTTATGGGTTAAAAATTGGAAATTGGGGCCGATGTGATGGCCTAGCAGCTAAAGTCCTTGCCTTGCACACACCGGGATCCCATATGGGCACCAGCTAGTGTCCTGGTGACTCTGCTTCCCATCCAGCTCCCTGTTTATAGTCTGACAAGCAGTCGAGGACAGCCCAAGGCCTTGAAACCCTGCACCCACATGGAAGACCTGGAAGAAGCTTCTGGCTCCTGGCTTTGGATCAGTTCACCTCCAGCCACTGGGGCCACCTGGGGAGTGAACCATCAGAGGAAGATCTTCCTCTGTATGTGTCTCTCTCTCTGTATATCTGACTATCCAATTAAAAAAAAGAGAGAGAGAAAAAAGGAAGAAAGAAAGATGGTAATTAAAAATACATTCACTGCGCCAGGTGCAAAAGCTTAGTGGCTAAAGCTCTCACAATGTACACACCAAAATCCCCTATGAGCACCAGTTCATATCCTGGCTGCTCCACTTCCCATCCAGCTCCCCGCCTGTGGCCTGGGAAAGCAGTGGAGGACGGCCCAAAGCCTTGGGACCCTGCCCCTATGTGAGAGACCTGGAAGAATCTCCTGGATCCTAGCTTCAGTTCGGCTTAGATCTAGCTGTTATGGCCACTTGGGAAGTGAACCACTGATGGAAGATCTTCTCTGTCTTTCCTTCTCTTTGTAAATCTGATTTTCCACAAAATAAATAAATTAAAAAAAAAAAAAGAACAGAACAGAAAGAAAAAAAAATACATTCACAGCCTGGCGCAATGGCCTAGTGGCTGTATCCTTGCCTTGCATGTGCCAGGATCCCATACGGGCACTGGTTTGTATCCTGGCTGTTCCACTTCCCATCCAGCTCCCTGCTTGTGGCCTGGGAAAGCAGTGGAGGATGGCCCAAAGCCTTGGGACCCTGCACCCATATAGGGGATGTGGAAGAAGCTTCTGGCTTCAGATCGGCTCAGCTCTGGCCACTGCCATCACTTGGGGAGTGAACCAGCAGAAGATTTTTCTCTTTGTCTCTCCTTCTCTCTGTATATCTGTCTTTCCAACAAAAATAAATAAATCTAAAAATAAAACAAAATAAAATGCATTCACAGAGCAGGCACTGTGGTGCAGCCTGTCGCAGTGATGCCCTGAGATGCCCATATTGTATCCTGTAGTGCCTGGGATTGAGCACTGTCTCCAGGTCTGATCCAGCTGCCTGTCAATGCATCTGAAAAACAGTAGATGATGGCCCAGGACCCAGATCAAACCAACTTCTGGCTCCTGGCTTTGGCCTGGCCCGGCCCCAGCATCTGTGGGTATTTGTTGGGTGAACCAGCAGAAGAAAGATTTTTCTCTCCTTTCTCTCTGCCTTAAAAAAAAAAGTAGCCTAGTGGTTAAAGTCCTCACCTTGCATCCGCCAGGATCCTATATGGGTGCTAGTTTATATTTCAGCTGCCCCACTTCCCATCCAGCTCCCTGCCTGTGGCCTGGGAAAGCAGTCGAGGATGGTCCAAAACTGGGATCCTGCACCCCTGTGGAAGACCCAGAAGAGGCTCCTAGCTTTGGCTCAACTCAGCTCAGCTCTGACAGTTGCGGCCTCTTGCGGAGTGAACCATCGGACAGAAGATCTTCCTCTCTGTCTCTTCTCCTCTCTGTGTATCTGACTTTCCAAATAAAAATAAATCTTTTTAAAAAAAGGCATACACTTTGTTTCTTCGGACAGTGTTGTGACCTTGGAAGCCACAGGGACAGTCCCTCTCCAGCTCCTGTCCTGTCGCTTGCAAAGGCACACGTTATCACAGGAACAAGCAGGCTACATACCCCACCCAGCTGCTGGATAGCCTCGGTCAGGAACTGAAGAGTCTTGCCAGCAGGTAGGTCCAAGTAGAAAGACTTTCCAGAAAAGGGCTGCCTCCCAGCACGTGGAGAGCTCTTGTGGCATTTTTCTGGACAACTGGAAATTCCTAGCTGAACCCCTGGAAAACAATCACAAAGACAGCAGAGTGAGAAGACTGAGATAAGTCAACCAACCCTCGCTGGCAGTCGGGCTGCGTGCCAGGCCTGGGTACACGGCGATCTGCTAAGCTAGAGCCCTTTCCCTCACACAGTTCAGTGGGCAACTGGAACCCTCACAGTGTACTGGTGGGAACGGGAAACAGCGCGGGAGCCACGAGAGTCTGGTGAATCTCAAAATGCTAACCACAGGATTAACTCACAACTCAGTAATCCTACTCCGAAGCACACAGCCAAGTCAGGGAAAACACGAATTCACCCACACAAACACTCACGCACAGGGTTCCCCAGCAGCCTGCTCTGTATCGGGACCAGGCAGAAACAGTTCACACACGAGCAGGTAAGCACAGGGCAACCTCGCTCCAACAGGGGCGACTATTCGCGCAGCCTGAGAAACGAAGCATGGGCAGAGGCTGTCATGGGATTCTCAGAAACATGCAAAGGGAAGCAGCCCAGCGTGGAAGGCCTGGTGCCATGAGGCTCCAGGGACCTGCTGTGAGACAGACAACAGCACAGCAGGGCAGGCAAGGAGGGAATGACGGTCGACAAGCACCAGGCTTGTTCGGGCTCATGAACATATCCTAAAGTTACAGCTTGGTGTTAGCCGCACAATCTTATAGATTTAAAAAACCATCCAAAGTGCACATTTAATTTTATGGCTTACAAATAAAACAAGCTTAAAAAAAAAAAACCCTCCCCTAAATACATCCTGTGAACTGTGTAACGGTGTAACTCACTGTACATCAATTTTACCTCAAAAGGAAAAAAAAATTATAAGCAAATATGGAATACGGTCACTGAGATGCATGGTAAACCATTCATAGGAATATATATTAATGTCTATCAATTACTTGAAATGTAGAAAAAAAAATAAAGCTGGACAGAGAGAAAAAGGCAAGTGAGGAGACAAGTGGGTGACTGTAGTGGTCAAGGGGTATGGACTAGAACCTTCCCATAAACAGTTTTAGACTTTGTTGAAGGTTTGAAATTTTCATAATAAAAAGTTAAAACTGGAAGAGGGAGAAAAAAAAAAAGGGATTCAAGAGAAAGGACCAAGCACTGACAACAGATGGACAAGTTCTAATACACAGACAGGGGTTCCAGGAGACAAGAACCAAAAAACAAACAAAAGCCAAGAATCCTAAAAATTACATAATTCAAGGAAATCTTTCTGAATTAAAAATACACCTTATTATTATAAACTACATATTAAAAGACATGTCACATAGAAAAACTGACCCATAGCAGACAACACCATTTAAGAAAACTTCTGGACCTTAAAACGAAGGTTTGGATGTTTTACAAAACCTTTTGCAACTCTTCCCCTCCTCCAGCCCTCGGTGGCAGGCTGGTGTCCGGCAGGCACTCGCAGGCACCTGCCCTCTCAGCTCTACAGCTGCACTCTGAAGCTGACTCCCATGTACCTTACTGCCGTCTGTCCTGCTTCACGTTGTCAGCTGCTACTTCACTGGTAAACCTGTAGCCCCCTGGCTGTACGAAGAACCACTTATGGGGGCGATTTTTGAGCTACACCCTATGCTTCCGTCCTAATGCTAGAGCCTGCCTCCCATCAGCTGGTATCAGCCACAGGCATTCAACTCTGGTCCTACAAACCTCCTCCTTTTTGACCTTCACAGGCTGGAGGCAGGACAGACTTTTGTTGTGAGCCCACCTGGGCTCTGGGTACAGCGGGGCAGCCCTATGGGCTTGGGCCAGCCAGTCTCAGTATCTGAACCTCTGTTTCTCACTGCTGAGACAGTGATGAGAACAAATCCTGTGGGTATTGGAGATGCAGTCAATAAAATGTTGCGACTTGTGTCAGGTAAAATGGTGCTGGAGCTGTTCAGAACAGTCAGCAATGGATGTGCCATCACAGGCACCAAACAGGCAGGCGAGCCTGGCAGGAAGCATCTGGATTGGCTGCCTGCAAGTGCCTGCTGGATACCAGCTCGCCACTGCGCCCCTATTCCAGATAGCTTCCTCCGAATTCATTTCCTTGACTTCTGCTTACAAATAAGAAAAACACATTCCACCTGCTGCTGTCTTCTTCCTTTGAATCCAAATCCAGGGGATCCCCTAAATTAAGAAAAAATGAGAAGGATCCCAAAGCCATGGTCTGGGTGGGTGGGGTGAGGGCTGGACAAGAGGTGGGGGCCAGCTGGAGGACACTTCCCAGCTGTGCTGAGTGAGTCCCCATCGGCCTGATGGCAGGGCCATAGCAGGGGCCTGGGGCCTCTCAGCAGAGCTGGAGCCCAACTTGGGAAGACCAGGCTCTTGAGTACGTGAAAAGGACAAGTGGTCAGGGGAGTGGGCAAGCACCTGAGCGAGGACCCCCCATCACACTATCCACTTGGTAAGGGAGGCAATGACAACTCGAGACAGCTTTTGAATAAGTGTGCAAGAGAAAGAATAGGGCTTAGAATCAGTGGTGGCATGGTGCAGTGGGTTAAGATCTCTGTTTTTCCCTCTCTTTGCTCTGCCTTTCAAATAAATAAATCTTAAGAAAAAAAGTGTGTGGAAGGGTGCTGGTGTGGGAACCTGCCTTTGTGCTGGTGTGGGAGGGCTCATGGGGGAATGGAGTGTGGGCTTGCAGGCGGGGGTCTGGGGAATGATGTCAGCAAGGGTCTGTAGGGACCCAGGGGCTCATGCCCAGGCAGGTGGAGTGAGCCTGGGAGCTTCATCATGTGCTTGGTTCCAGGCGAGATTGGGGGATGGGAGGAGAGAACCCTAGATTAGCATGCTGGCCTGGTGTGCTGGTGGACCGGGCTTGGAGAACTTCGGACTTGGAGCTTGGGTGGGCAGAGAGGTAAAGTCCCAGCTAAGCATATGTGCCAGGAGTTTGGGTCCCTAATGGGTGGGCAGAGCTCCAGGCCAGCTTCACCCCACTGGAAGACTATGCTTCAGAAGACTGGACTGGGGAACCCATGCACTCCTGGGCGCAAGGTCTGTGGATTGCTCAGGAAAGTGAGTGGGGAGATGTGTGGGAGGGAGGACTGCTGAGGGAGTATGTTGCAGGTGAGGAATGACTTCTAACAGACTTCCACCAACAAGGCCGGTAAACTTGCAGGTAAGCGAGATGGCTGAGACTTCCTCCAGGTCTCCCATGCAGATGCAGGGTCCCAAGACTTTGGGTCATCCCAGACTGCTTTCCTAGGCCACAAGAAAGGAGCTGGATGGGAAGTGGGGCCATAGGGATTAGAACTGGCACCGATACAGTCTTCAGGCACAAGCAAGGTGAAGACTTTAGCCACCAGGCTATTACGTTGAGCCCTTTTCTCTTTTTCAAAGACAGAGTGACAGAGGAACCAGAGTAGTGGCACAGCAACCTAAGCCTCCACCTATGGTGCCAGCTGAGTTCCAGCTTTTCCACTTCCCTGTTTATTGCTCAAGTTCTTGGACCCTGAACCCAGAAAAAGCTCCTGGCCCCCAGCTTCACACTAGCTCAGCGTTTTGGAGGGTCAGACCAATGCATCCACCCATGTGGGAGACCTGAGCTGGGCCAGTTAGCATGGACTACAGCCAACCACCACCCATTGGCACACACTAAAGCTAGGGCAGGAGCCTACCTGGCAGTGCTAGATCACAGTACCCGCTAGTGAGTGCTGGAATAGGGGATGGGTAATGTCAGGTTGAGCCATGACACTAACTAGCACATGACAGAATCAGTTCTGGTCGTAGATTCTGTCAGGGATAAGTGGCTCACCCCTGTGAAACTGCAATTTCCACTGGTTTGTTCAAGAGATGGTCATCCCTTGCATGAGAGCTGAATGGGATGTGGGACAGACTGGACTAGTCTAAAGTACATACTGGCAAGCACGGGAACCAGGGCAAGGAGTGGGCCTGGTGGGGGTTACTGGGAGCTGTCCCAACTAGGCTGCAGCTCCCACTGGTTTGTGTGAGGGCCGAGTGTGTGGTGGGCAGAATCAGGCTGGACTGCAGCACCCATTGGTTCAAGTGGAAGACAGGGCTGGAAACAGAACTGACTCAACAACTGCAACCACCAGCTGATTGGGGATGATGGACTGTGTTGGGTCCTGTACTGGTAAGTACACACTAGAATCTGGTCTGGGAACACCTCAGGCAAAGTTTCTTTGGGGATCCGCTCCATTGAATTGCCGGACTCAGAACCCTAACCATGAAGAGAAGTGCAGGTTCCATGGTCTGCCATGGAGTGCAAGTATCAGAGCCGAGCCTCCTTAGAGGCTCAGAGGGAGCAGTGGACAGCATATCCAAGTGCACATGGAAGATATGGCAGTCCATCAGAATCTGCAGAGGATACCTGTACCACAACAGAGGACAGAGCAAATCAATCAATTACCCCAGCCATATGTTGGCAGTGAGAAACTGGGCAAATGGAGACTCTAAGGTGGACTATGTCAATCAGTGGATTCTGCAGCAACCTCACCATGCTTGGAATGGCGAAATGGCAGCAATTCATAACTGTTGAACTATCAAAACCACTTGAGCAGGACACTTGGAACATGCCCCATATCAGGGACCTGCAGTGGGTAGGAGGCTGGGTGAGGCTTCTCCCTTTATCCCAGGCACAGAAAAAAAAAAAATGTGGAAATAATAGTTTTACCCACTTTCCTGTAGCCCTTGACTTTTGTGCCCTAATCAACTATGTAAAGTTTGTCAAAAATAAAGAAAAAAAAAAGATAAGAAATGGTCATCCCTAGCTCTGAGCTGAGATAGGCACGACCATGGAACCCTGTGATACTCATCTGTACTGGGATTGGGAACAGGCTGGGATAGTCCAGGCTGTGGTACCCACAGGCACACCCAAGAGGGTGTGGGATGGGCTGGGCCACAGCATCCACCAGCTCCTTGCGCCTCAGTAGCCTGGTGGCTAAAGTCCTTGCCTTGCAAGCATTGGGATCCCATATGGGTGCCGGTTTGTATCCCAGCTGCTCCACTTCCAATCCAGCTCCTGGCTGTGGCCTGAGAAAGTAGTGGAGAATGATCTAAAGCCTTGGGATCCTGTCCCTGTATGGGAGATCTGGAAGAACCTCCTGGTTCTGGATCAGCTCTGCTCTGGCTATTACAGCCACTTGGGGAGTGAACCAGTGGACAGAAGATCTTTCTATGTAAATCTGTCTTTCAATGAAAATGAGTAAATCAAAAATAAAAATTGTTAAAAATATAAAATAACAATAAAAGAAAATAAGTACATTTTTTTCTCCATTTAAGACAATTTTTACTGACCTCTACCAAGTGGCAAGCTTTGTGTGTAGACACATTTCCTTCTCTTACAAAACAAAAATCAGGTGTATAAATAGTTTCAAGAGGCTAAAGCAAAATCCAAGAGACAAACCTGTAATGTTACAAAAACAACATGGATATGGAGACAGGGAACGCAAGCAGAGAGCTATGTGAATAAATTCATGAACCACTGATTCTCCTTAAATCACCTCTGGATTGTATCCCAGGAGGTTTGTGCCCTAAGGACACTGTCAGTGTTCCTGCTGCTTTGAAGTGGCCCTGAATATACAGGTATCACAGGAGTTTAAATTTTGTCCTCTGTCCCAAACTCAATGGAGATGAGCTTGCCCTCGGCCTGCCTGGTGAGACCTACAAGAGGCATTTGACTTCTTTTTTCTTCCATACATCTCCACTCTGCCAGAAGGAGTTGGTGTCTTTATTCTTACTGAAGTGCTTCTCCATCTCGGCTTTGTGAACCAGGCAGAGGAGCCCATTTCTCTTGCCCGGGAAGTGGGTGCTGGGTTGCTCGGATCTGCACATGC